ACAATATATGACAACCGCCTATTAGGGTGCGGCCATTTTGATGCCTTTACGTCGACACTTTTGATCTCAATGTTTCAGTTTATACACTGTGAAATTCGGATAATACAATATATGACAACCGCCTATAATAAAACAGCAGTCTTCTGCGTATCCTGAATTTGTATCCCTGGAGTGGATGTTATTTTGGAACTTTCAACTGGTCCGAGTGAGCCAACTGATTTTTTAGCAATAAACTGTGACTCCAAAAATAATATTCACTGATACTGACAGCAGCAAGCAAAATATTAAAAATATTGCGACAAGATGTAGGCAACACGTAATAAGGCATCAAAATGGCCTTTTAAAAGGCACACAGAAAGGTGCGTAGTGCGACCATTCTCCGCATAGTAAGAGAAAATCCAGGATTGGACAATTTCATCTAGTATGTACGTTTCACATATTACCTTCGAGCATCGTATCTGCCAAACAAGATTTATAAATTCTTGTGTTGTTCATACGTTAGTATTTTATGGTTTTTGGTATTTTTTGAATTGTTTTAGAAGCTTTTTAATTGTCTGGACTTTTTTTAAAGTGTTTTTATAAAAAGTATTTTGGTAAATCAACATAGTTTTATTTGAGGTAAGTTCTACAATGACAAAAATTATTTTTAAGTAATTATAGTATTATTTTTTTAGGGTTCGAATATGCCAGACAGATGGTATTCAGTAATTGTGACAACAGCCGTGTGAAAACAAAATTAGATAACCCAGATAAAATGTATCATAATTTTCCATTGGGGAAAGATTTTGTTTAACACGAAATAAAACAAGAGTAGATTCGGAGATGACGTAGAGCCGATAAATAAAATCTCACAAGCCAGATTTGCTCTGTCCATGAAAGAGAGCTTTATAATAAACTATTGTGTAATTGGATTTGCCAGTGAGGAAGCGATTCTAGAAAACGACAGTCCCTACTTTGCTATCTTGGAAATAATGAAAGTGAATTTTAAAAAAGTAATAACGGGAAAGTCGAATCTTCACAAGAGAAAAGAAAAATAGGGAATATGACTGTTTAAAACAATATACTAAAATTTCCACATATGTAGAGGTTAATGAAAGCAGTACAATTGAAACGAAAACAGTGTCTTTGAAAGTGTTAACTGGGAGCAAATAAAATATAATAAGCTTAAAGATTATTTTAAAAATATAAAAAAGAAAATGCCAATATGTTCACACAAGTAAAGCACTTAAATTTTTATAAAAAAACATCAGAAACTATTGAAACAGAACAAAGAGCTAGAGGCCAAGAGAAATGTATTTACTAAAAACCATATTAAAAAAAACGTGTTGAATGGACATTTGAAAAAGCTGCATCTGCTTCTACCTTGCAATATTACAGCAAAAAAAGCATTTCTGTATGTAAAATTTATCTGTATTAAGATTTATCTTCTAAGGCGATGGGCTAAGAAATTAAATTTTACAAATGGAATCTTAAACAGTGTATTAAAATTTATGCAGTTGAACGAAGAATCAATTATGGGCGACTTTGACAAGCACTAGGCATCCTTCCGTAGCAAATAGGACCTACCTCTTAGCTTATTAAAAGCCTGCTGGCTGACAAGTCGCCGAGAGGTGTCTAGAGATAGCTAGCCTCGGTTCGTCAGAGTCTTGTGGGTAATAACGCCGCTGAGGCGTCACTGAAAGAAGCCATTTGGTGGGCTCCTACCACCCCGCATCTCAGAGCAATCCTCCATGGGCTTATAGGACCTGCTTCTCAAAACTCGTCAAAAGCCTGCTGGTTAACAAGTCACCGAGAATTGTCTAGGGATAATTAGCCTCTCAGCTTGTCAAGTAGGTAGGGTTGCCAGCAAAGGACAGTCATTTTTTCAAACAAATTATCCTTGTGACTTTTTGAAGGTTAAAATGTCCTTTTTTACGACACATGTCCTCTTTGATAGCACATGTCCTTAAAAATAAACTGGTAGCAGAGGGACCCGGGGTTTATTTAAAAAAATATAAGCTGATAACTCTTTTTTTTTTAGAAGCTTGCCAAAAATCCTCCGTTTCCGGTTCCCCTGTCGTCACCGTTAGTCCTTTATTTACTTTTAAAAAAGGTGGCAACTCTACCTGCAGGCTAATAACGTCGCCGAAGCATCATTAATTAGATGTCCCATTTTTGGAAGTATGGGCATCTCATCTGGTGGGCATCTATCTCAGGAGGCCCTACCACATGGATATCTTCCAGGGGCAAATAGGACCTGCCTCTAAGCTCGTCAAAAGCCTGCTGGTTGACAAAGTCACCGAGATGTGTCTAGAGATAACTAGCCTCTCAGCTAGTCAGAGTCCTGCAGGCTAATAACGTCGCTGAAGCATCACTAGACGCCCATTTCTGGAAGTGGCCATTTGGTGGGCTTCTACCTCAGGGGCTAGTACCATAGAGCGATCTTCCAGGGGTAAATAGGACCTACCTCTAAGCTTGTCAAAAGCCTGCTGGTTGACAAGTCGCTGAAAGGTGTCTAGGGATAGCCAGCCTCTTAGCTCGTCAGAGTCCTGCAGTCTAATAACGTCGCTGAAGCATCACTAGATGCCCCATTTCTGGAAGTGGCGTCAGGGGCTAGCACCATAGAGATATTCCAGGGGTAAATAAGAGCTGCCTCTAAACTCGTCAAAAGCCTGCTGGTTGACAAGTCTTTGAGATGTGTCTAAGGATAGCGAGCCTCTCAGCTCGTCAAAGTCCTGCAGCTTAATAACGTTACCGAGGCGTCACTAGATTCTCCATTTTATAATTATGTGAAGAAGATCATATTATATTCTCAAATATGACAAGACTTTGGTTTAGATTGTGTGTACGAAGGGGGAGAAAAATACTTTTCAGCCTGACCAATGGTGGGCTATGATTTTGATAATGTTTTTGTTTTATTTAATGTCGTATGTCATTTGTTTTTCTGTAAAATATTGTATTGTAACTTTGCGTCCAGTGATTTGTATTTGATAGCCCATATTAATCAAGTTTAAGTTTTTGAATAGAGAAAAAAGTAGAGCTGTCATTAAATATTTAGTTTAAGTACCAGGGGAAATTAGAGCTGCGCTGAATTCAACTTTCAGCGAGCCTCTTCCATCATTGTCTACAGTCAAAACATGAGTTGCAGATTTGTTGTTTTTGTTGTCTAACAAGCACTAAGAAATGCCCAAATAGGCCAAAAACGGCTACGACGGAAACATTGTTTTGATTGAAGATAGTGGAGATATTTGAGGGTGTGGAGATTTCAAAAGAGCGAACACATCACATATTATGCAAAATTTTGGACACGAGAAATCTGTCTGCAAGATAGATGCAGCGACTGCTCGTCGCATCCAAAAGAGTTTTTGCGTAGATTTATAACTATTTTCGAGACTTTGGGTTCACCACTACACACTCGAGATCAAACTAGAGATGGGCTATATCGTGATTTTGAAATTTCACTGATACTTGTTTCCGTGATGTTAAGCCGTGATTTCGTGACAAAAGTGACAGCAAATAAGCAAAAGTTTTCTACTACATACAAATGAAAATATGTGTAGTACTATTCTATCGAATCTCAAACCATCTTTCTTCCTAGTCTATTTTGTCGAAATACAACTACTAATTCAAAACAAATTAAAAATACAACTGTTAGTAATGACATAAGATAAGTGACATTATTGACTTTCAAAGTGGTAGTTTATCCCTTGTGCTTGAAGCATAAAATAGCATCACTTACATAATAAGGGTATAAGGGCATGACTTCCATTTTATAATTTAACTCGGAATATCTTTTTATGGATTTTCCTGTAGTAAACTTGTTGTCTTGTCACGAAAAATCACGAATCACGAACTGTGACAAAATTATATCAGTTACAAAAACAATGTGACATGAAATATCTACCATCTCTAGACCAAACAGCACTCAAGACAATGGACAGAGAAAGGTGAACCAGCCCAAAAAAAGACGAAAACGGTTCCATCGGTTATGTCGCCGTTATTTTGGGATGCAAACATTATTTTAATTAATAAACTTAAAAAGGGCAAAACAATAAATATTATGCTAATTTGCTTGATCAGCTGTAACAGAAAATTCTACAGAAAATGCCTGGATTATTGACAAAAATTTATGTTCCATCAGAACAATGCGCCGTATTACAAGTTCATTATTGCGATGGCTAAAATTAAAAAAGTGGACTTTGAATTACATCCCTATTCATCCTTCTCACCAGATTTGATTCTTTCATGACGCTGGCAAGAAATATGTGTCTGATTTGGAAGTTATTGACAGCACAAACGCTTATTTTAAAGAGCTCGAAAAATAGGGCCTTAAATTAAATTTCGTTGGCCGAAGTTTATTTTGGGACAAGAAGACTTTGAAAAATAAAAGAATTTCCCTCTAAAGAGCCCAAGCTTGTACTCGAAATTATTCATCACACCCTCGTATATTTATTTACTAATTAGCTACTTCAGGAAAATGATTATTGTGATCAATTATATTAAATTAAATAAACTGCAATAATAATAACAAATAGATAAAGGAACTATATAAGATATTGCTAATTCTTTATTAAGTTACTATCTCCTTTATCTATTTGCAATAAAAACATATGATTTTAAAACTAGGCATGTTAGTTTTTAACAGATAACATCGTAGCTGTCAGTAATATTATTATTATTCTAAATGTTAGTAATCCCTTCATCCATACATAAATGCTTAAATGAAACAGTTGGTAGTTGGTGGCCTTGTTTAATATCTAGTGATAAATTTATCATAAATATTAAATACAAGTTGGGTCATTTCTATTTATGGAAATACTGGAATCATCAACTAAAAATTTACTTAGGTTAAATCTTTTTAAAATTTTATTAAAATATTTGATTCCATACATCTATTTACTTTAAATTAGGTATATAAATGTGTAGCAATTAAATATAGGATTCACTAAAAAGGTCAAGGCTGGTTCACGACTACCGGATGATATTTATGAATGAAAAATCCAAAAATAAAATGTATATACCATGTTGATATGTCCTGGGGTGCACTGGTGATACATTTTGGGTGATCTGTGCGTGAAAAGCTGGAAACTAGAACAACGGTGCTGGTTGGTGCTGTTTGCAAGACGGTGAAAACGAGCAATTTCTAGAAATTTTGGATATTTTTGGGCCCACTCTTACCTAACCTAACCACACTTTTCGTACTAAAACTCACCGCGGAAACTGAAACCGATATACAAACGCATGCGTTAAATATCAAAATATCATTCTCTTTAACCTCCAACCAACGGAACTCAACAATTATGTATTAAATTTATCATCAATAGCAGAAGTGTACCCGTACTTTGATCGTAAGAGAAAGGGAGATAGAGAAGCGGTTGTTTGTCTGTGATACGAGGATAGATCGTCTGGTTGATCATTAGAATTTTTAACATTACAGGTATTGCACATAGCATTACCGACTTTTCGTCTATACAAGGGCGATACGATAGTTTTTACATCAGAATATTACTCGACTAACGGTTCGTGGTATTTTACGGAGGGTTTTTGTTTCGTGAAATTTACTGTTAATTTTCAAAGAAACAACAAAATTCTCACCTCTTGTGGTAGGTATATTACTCTTGACAATTTATGACTAGCTAGTTTTAATTACTTAATGGTGTAAAACTGCTAATAATAAAAATTACTCTCAAAATTTGATAAAATGAAAATAAATTGACAAATTATAATTTTTATTTTATTTATAATGCTAAGTATTTCACTATTGTTGCTATATTAGGTGTATCTAATCATTTCAAGATGAAATGCGTTTTTCGATAATTGATCTTATTTGAGATTTTTGTGAAAACTCAGATCGCTATTTCGATGTTGACACGACGGTGTCAGAAATGAATCTCCATATAAGAAATCATGGGAGTTACAAGCGAAAGTCTCAAATGGGTATGTTATCCCATACAGCACACATTACTTCAGAAAGTGTTTCAGAAATATTTCAAACGTTTTAAACATGTAATATTTCAAGCAAAAGTTTCTAAAATATTTCTGGAATATTTTAGTTAAATATTTCACTGAAAATGTTTCTGAAACATGGTATACATGTTACACAAAAAGTTACTAAACGAGTTATGTTATAAAAGGCCAACAATTAATGAAGAATTTCTGATTTGTAAGAAGAAAATGGGATATATGTAGTTATTTTATTTCATCATATGTCCAGCTACCAGCTAGAAACAAGCCTATATTCTAAATAATTATAGATTTGAGTTGTTGGTTTTTGTTATTCATGCGTTGTGAACTTGTTTATATGAAAAGCAGAAATTAAGGTAAGAACTACATAAATAATGCTTGCTTGGGTAAATCTTCATGTTTTGTTTAGACATGAGTATTGTTTTATTATAGTTAATTTAAAACAATATTAATAAAACTATTGTTAATCAAATAATTTGTATAAATCTTTTTTACTTACACCTATATTTTGTTTCAGATTACTGTATTTAAAGGAATTGGTGGAAATGAAGCAATTTGCCAGCTTTGGAGCTGTACCAGTAAAAGTATCATTCAAATTATTGAGCGTTATTTCCAGAATAAAGTATTTAGAAACGTCGTTAATGCATCCTGGTACTGCCGTAATACTGATCTTCATAGGAACTAAAGTGGAGACTTGAAAAACAATACAAAAATTTGCAAGTAGTCACCAACAACGACTGCTCCAACATGGAAACCTTTGAGATTATCCAACTCCCCAACAATGCCAATCTAATAAGAAGACTCAAGAGAACCAGGTCTTTTGAGTTAGTTTAATGATGTTAGATTAAAACAGAGTACAGTGCGGTTAAGTATTTTACGCTAATGGTAGTGTAACCAAATAATTAGAGTCTAAAGGGAGAGCGGGGCACAGTGGACAGGGGGCACAGTGAATACACTGTATTTAAACTGTATTTACGTCGGAGTAATTTGACAGCCGTCGGGTATTACGTGACAATTGCTTTCCAAGTTTCCAGTCGATCTTAGTTCTTTTAATGTAGCATAATACCTATGTTTTTATATTACAACGAACCAGCTGTTTTGTTGTTTTATTTGATCTACATTTTGTTACAGTGTATATAATAGGTGTGACCCCTGTACCCTACGACTATGTTCACTGTACCACTGATTGTGGGGTACAGTGACCAGTTTTTGCATGTAAGAAATAAATACTTGCTGCAATAAATAAGTCTTATGTTCCAATAGGCCCTGTGTAAAATTTTGAATTGTTTGTTTGATAATTATACATCTATTTATCAATTTAAAAAAAAATGGCCACTGTGCCCCGCTCTCCCCTACACTATATAGTTTATGAAGTTTTACATCCCTAGATAAGTTAGGTAAAAATAAAATTGCTAATTGATCTTAATGATTAGATTATAATATTCGTAAATGTTTCTTTGCTTGGAGCATTTCGTTACCATAATTAGCAAACCTCCCCAGACAACACACCAAATCCCAGAGATATCCACAGAATATCTAATATGAATATCCAAATGTCCGTCTATATCCAGAATATAGAAGATATCCTATGGATATCCAGCAAAATATCTAATGGGTATCTTCCAGACAATACAAGAAATCCCAGATATATCCACATAATATATTTTGTAGATATCCAATATATCCAGTGGATCTAATATGGATATCCATGTCTGTCTATATCCCAGGATATAGAAGATATTCGGATATTCAGCAAAATATTTTATGGGTATTTTTAGTAGAGGTTCATAAGTAACTAATGATTATTGAATAACGTCGAAAGAAAATAGTAGAGATAAAAAATATTTTCAACACTGCCTTTGATTTTGCGCACTATGGAGAAAGTCATCCTTATTAGGACTCTTCAGCAATAAATGGAAATTCTCGACTCCAGTCTCTAATGGATTGCGATACCAATTTCGATCGAACTCAGTTACGGCGGGTTGAGCATAAGTAGATATTCAACGAGCGAAAGTGGTATCGCCATCTATACTTAGTAAGTAAAATTAAAAATTACATCTAGTGGATATCCACCATGGTTTGCGTTCGCGCCTAGACTTTGATATATTTAGTGGATGTCCATGGGATATTGAATACACCTTAAAAAAATTAATTTTAAATATCTAAACGGTACTGAACGGCACAATGGCGTAATTTTTTAAAAATGTACTATTATTATTTATGGACATTTGCATGTCTATAAATTACATCTCTTGGATATAAAATAGATATCCACCATGGACTGGACATTATTCAGTGGATATTGGGATGTCCAGTAGATATCCAAAGGATTTGGTGTGCTGTCTGGGTCGTAACGCCATTTTTGCAAAATTCACATTTTCATGCCAACTTGTAGAAAAAAAAACCTCTATTACATGTTTCAAACCTCATAAATCCAGAATAATTCTGGATTTATGAGGTTTGAAATATGTTAAAGAGGTTTTTTTCCAACCCTGCAGTAACATCAAGCATGACATGTGTAAAATGTGAGTCTAGCCGCCCAAATTATCATTTACCCCAGTCAGCTGAGCTGTTAATTTATTAGCTATTCGTGAGGGTGTATCGGCATTTCGGTAGACACGATTTTTAAATAATTTTACGGCCCAAATGTGACGTTAATAAATAATACATTTCTATAATAATGAATAATATAATAATAAACCTCTTTTAAGTTATTGCCTCACCATCTATTTCTGACGTTTTTATATTGTTGTTGATACATGGAAGTGTTGCTGATTTGGAAATATTGAACATAGAGATTTACAAGAATCGGGACGTTAAGCGGCGGTACGTAGAGAGGGCGTCAGGATGCAGAGCGTCGTATAGGAGAAAGTTATTGGGACGTATAGCGTCGGATAGGAGAGAGGACGTCAGGCCGGAGAACGCTGAGACGAAGAAAGGTAAGGGAGTAGGGCGGCGGTACGTTGAGCTTCGGGACGTGACAACGTTCGGGAGATAGATCGTCGGAACATAGAACGTCACGACGTAGGAATATCGATAGGAGGTAGGGTAGGAACGCCGTCGGTTTAGGAAAGGTACTGAATACTGAATTTTAAATATAACTAAATTTGAAAAGCTACTGAATTAGACTGGATTTAAAATAATGAATAACGAGTTTCTCGTGAACGGGTACTTATACTCGTTTTAATGACTTTTTGTGTTGATAAAAAAGGGCTGGTCGATTTATTACATGCCTTGAAAAATTCCCGGAATTTTGTGTCGAAATCATGTCCAAAATTACTTAAGATCAGCGCGTTAACTGTTTTAATGATTATTACTTCGTGAAAAGAAATATGGATTATGGAGGTTTTTGGGTCAAATTCTCATGGGATAACTTATCTTTTCTGATCATTGGGTTTGTACATGTAATATTAGAGCCCCGCGAATTCAAGAAGGGATAAAAAGAAGAAGAAAAAAAAGAAAATTAAGCTTTAATGCATCCTGCGGTGAACTGATTAAATTTTGGGCATAGTCGGAACATCTCGGGGGTATTTTATAGGGGGTCTTTTTTACTTTATGAAATTTATCTTTTGTTTGCGCTTGGAGAGGAAAATTCTTCAAATCAAAGTTGCTTGTAATAGTATTCTCTATAATTTTTGTCTCATACATATTTTTATAAAATGGGCCGTATTCGAGAAATTTCGACAAAAAAGTGCAAAATTTGTATTTTTTCACAAAATTGTTCAAATAAAAGTTTTTGTGATGTCATTCTCTATAATTCATGTCCTAAATATAATTTCTTTAAAATGGACCGTATTCGAGATATTTATGAAAAAGTGTAAATTTCGAATTTTGGTTATAATACAAAAATGGATAAAGAGAAAATTATCAAATTTTAAAATTAAGCTTTAATGCATCCTGCGGTGAACTGATTAAATTTTCAGCATAGTTGGAACATCTTGGGGGTATTTTATAGGGGGTCGTTTTTCTACTTTATGGAATATGTTGTTTGCGCTCGGAGAAGAAAATTCTTTAAATAAAAATTGCTTGTAATATTATTCTCTATAATTTTTGTTCTATAAATGCTTCTCTAAAATGGACGGTAATGGAAAGATTTAGGAAAAAGTGTAAAATTTTAATTTTTCAGTACTTTCGTTGGCAATGAATATATTATAAAAAAAGGCTGTAATTAACGTGATAGGAAAGTCATGTGTTGGACACGTTAGATTTTTAATCTAAAAAATACATATGTTATTTTTATTATAATTTTAATATTATTATTTTGTTTAAATTTAACTTGTGTATACAATTCTAATTTTTATTTCTGTATACCACTAATAAGTCTATCCTGTCAAAATAAACATACAAAAAATAAAACTCCATAATATAGTTTTAAACATTTATCGATAATAAAAGCTTAAAGATTACAAAAATATGTATTATAAAAGATGGAAATAATTATACACACTAATTAACATTAATATAAAAGTTCACATTTATCTTTAGAACACTTATTCCTTAACCAAAATTTAAAATTCAATAATAAACAGGATATTTACAATAGAATTATGTCATTACACAACTTTTACAGTCTCTACTGAACTGGACTTAATAAATATTAAACATTACTAGAAAATATTTGTCAAAAAAAATGTACTTTAAGTGAAAAAGCTAAGAGAAAAAATAAACAATCTTCCTATTAGATTAATATTGAGCGATTTACATTTCTAATATATTCATCTCTATTCTATCAAAATGGGAAAATTAACAATAAATTATTTGCTGATATAAGGAAATATAATAAAAATATTCATACAATGACCAATCTCCATCCTTTATTTTGTCAAAGATTAGCGAGAATATTTATCAAAATAAGATTATTAGCAGAGAATCAACAAATCACAGACTCATAAATGCTACTTACCATTTTTTTGACACAAATATTTCATATTAAATAATTTTATATGATTTACAAAATTTGACACAAGAATTTATTAACTTAGACATCAATCTACATAAACAAAAAACTTTTGAAAACAAATACTGAGGTAGTAACTTCTGATTCGTTATCCAATCTCTTTCTTCAGAAATATTTATCAGAAAAATGTATACATGGAAATACTAACTATTGAAAAAGTTATTCCACATTAAACATGCTTCAAGAAAGAACATTTTGAGTTTAATATAATTATTGTAGCACATTTATTTTACTGAAAGGTCATTAAACTTTCAAGCTGAATACCATAGTTAAAAACTGTTCATAGTGAATAGTTATGTATCCATCTTGGTCCGTATCAAATTGTCTGAATGATGAAGTAAGAGTCTGTAAAAGAATAATAATCATAAGCATCTTCGTTAATTTCTAAATATATTTTTTTACTTACATACAATGCGATACAGCATTGAATAAAATCATCGAAAAGTATCGTCCCGTTTCCGTGCCTATCAAATTTTCTTACGAGTATATTAATAAGATTATCAGAAATTCTATATCCGAATGATACTAAAGCCGTTTTTAATTCTTCTTTATCGATATTGCCGGAATTGTCTCTATCGAACGATCTGAAGCAGTTCTGCCAGTCTGTTACGTATTTCCACAGAGCACCAAAGTCTTCGAAACTTACTTGTCCTCTGTTGTGTCTGTCAAACATTCCTGAGAAAAAATAAATAAATATATAAAGAATTTCCGTCAATGATGCCGAGTACAAGGGTATTGAAAAATTTGGAAAAGAGTTAATCATGCATACCAAATTGATGACTCAAACTAAGGATGTTTGTCCTCCTGATAGTAGAGTAGGCAAAGTAGTTTGGTTGGTTCGATTACAGATCATGGCATGTTTCCAACTTAGGCATACATTTCATAAGGAAGCATTTGGAAATTTATTTCTGAATTTTCAAAAGCAAAATGTGGAAAAAACAATTAATTTTACTTTTACAATATTTTTATACGAAAACGAATGAAGAATTAAAACAATGATAAAGTATTTATTAACATTTTTATTAATGAAAATTAGTATTATGTTATGTATGTAATGTATGTATTCTATGTATAATGCTCCTATTTTTTTTAACTTCACTTACTAATTTTCATATTAGTAAGTGAAGTCAAAAATAGGAATATTGTACTTAATAACGAGTAATATTGCCACCTTTTCTGATTCAAGGCGGTTACGCAGAGGTTCGTAAATTAAACCCGCGCTACTAAATAATTGTTCGCTAGGAACACTGCCTGGTGGAGTGGATAAAAATCTTCGTGCTATCGGTGATAATATCTTGAATTCCTCTCGATGAACACTCCACCATTTAAGAGGATTTTCATCAGCATTGACTCTCTTTTTTAGTGCGGTAAGAAAGTAATTCCTTTTTAAGTATAGCTTCAGGGCTACCATTTTCTGGTATTTCTTGACTCTCATCTTCACTTGACGAATCTAACATCGTAGCAAGGTCGTTTTATAAGCTTGGAGAAATATTAGGGTAACTTTTATACCAAAACCTGGGAAAATAGGATAGGAAACGGCAAAGTCCCTAAGACCAAGAAGTCTTATGTCCTTTTTACTTAAGACTTTGGAAAAACTGCTAGATAGACATATTAGAGACAGGATATTGGTTCAGAGGCCAATATACCAAGACCAATATGCCTATAGTGCAGGGAAATCAACTGAAACAGCTCTCCATGAATTAATAAAAGGGGTGGAGAACACATTGGAAAACAAGGAGCATGCTTGGATATCGAGGGTGCATTTGACAATACCTCTGTTGAATCGATCATTAGATCTCTCAAACACAGAGGAATCGAGGACACATGCGTGTCCTGGATCGACTCTATGTTAAGAGAGAGAACTATACACACAACCCTTATGGGAGGGACAATAGCGGCACGGGTAGCGAGAGGATGTCCACAGGGTGGAGTGCTGTCTCCACTCCTGTGGAACCTTGTAGTGGACAGGCTGCTTAGGGCTCTCAAATATAAGGGACATACAACCCTGGGATATGCCAAAGATCTAGTTATCACGGCACAGGGAAAATACAACACTATAGTAATAGATCAAATGAAGAGGCTCTAAATATGGAAACAAAATGGACAGAGGGGGAAGGACTAAACATTAGCCCAAACAAATCTGACATAATTGCATTCACCCGCAGGAGGAAATTGGAGGGACTGGGGCCTCTAAACCTAAGAGGTGGAAGCATCCAGCTTAAGGGGGAGGTAAAAAATCTCGGGGTTATGATTGACTCGAAACTTACCTGGAACCAGCATCTAGGAAAAAACACAAGGAGAGCGGAAACCTCGTTAATTATAGCAAGGCGATCCTTTGGAAAAAAGGACATAGTATATTGGCTTTATAACATGGTGGCGAGACCGATAATAACATACGCAGCTTTGGTGTGGTGGCCAAAGACACAGCAAAGAAAAATAATGAGGCTAAGCAAGGTACAAAGACTTGCCTGCCTCGGAATAACGGGGGCAATGAAAACAACCCCCACAGCTGCAATGGAAGCACTAATAGGACTCCCACCTCTTCACTATGTGATACAAGGGGAGGCAAGATTAGGTGCTTACAGATTAAGGCATACACTGGGAAATCTTGTCATTAGGCCAGGTTACATGAGTATCTCAAGGTTAGTGACAGGAGACGTGCTAGACATGAGATCAGACCACATAACCAAGAGGTACTCTTTTAATACTCCATTTGAGGTTTTAATACAGGAAAGAGCGGACGACAGGAATATACCTGGTATACAAACTGGTCTAAGACTGCGAAAGGCACTGGGGCGGGAGTATTCTCCAAAAACCCGGACACTAACCATAGCTATGCTCTAGGAATACATTCCTCGGTATTTCAGGCCGAGGTATACGCAATTTTGCAATGTGCAAAAACGAACAATGAAAGAGCTGTCGAAAATCAGCATATTCTAATAATGTCAGACTACCAAGCGACGCTTAAGGCCATATCGAGTCAAAAAGTTACGTAGAGACTGATATGGGAATGCATCGAAGAACTAAAAACACTGGCAGACTGAAATATAATCAAACTATTTTGGGTGCCAGGTTACCAAGGGATCGAAGGCAACGAAAAGACTGACGAACTTGCAAAAAGAGGGTCAGAAGAAACACTGGAACCAGACACAAACCCAGGAGTACCAAAAAGTACAGTCCGGGGTTTCATAAACGACTGGATTCGGAAACAACATATTAACTATTGGGGAAGCACCCTAAAACAGGCACATGGAAGACTTCATAGGCAGACCATGTCCCAAAAGAACTGAAGAACTACTCTTTATGAATAGGAACCAGTTGAAAGTGATAACAGGGTTCATGACTGGGCACGCCCCAGTAAAGGGGCACTTGAACAAAATTGACATGTATAATGGGGAACTCATGTGCCGACTATGTCACAAGAAACCAGAAACGGCCAAACACATACTGTGCGAATGAGAAGCTCTAGATCGCAAAAGACAGGTACTTTTTGGACAACCCCAGGTTGATCCAACAATGTATAGAACCCACTCACATAAGGATCTGTACAAGGTACAAAGGTGACAGAGTGGTTGCTAGGAACTAACATGGGGTAAAACACAATAAGCCAATAGGCTTCACTGTTATTCGGAGACATAGTCAGACGAGCCCAGGAGAAAAAGAAATTTAAGCCATTTCCGACCTATCTAGTTATGCTCTGATCCTTTGGGTCTCACTGCCCTGTTTGATTCTTTTTACGACCCCACTTATCCTTAAAATCAAGAATATTTCATTAAGGCAATATTTTACCCAACTATAGGGACGCCTATGCTCACAGATAGCCGATATGAATCCTAGACCCTTTATAGAAGTATATTCTATAAATTGCCAGAGACGCCTGTCTAATAAATGGTAGAAATGTTGATAATTGTTGATAATTTTACTGTTTATTTTTTTGATAATGTTATTTAGGGGATTCTTGATAATACTATTTGATGAATTTTGAAAAATGCCTTTTGATATTGTTCACAGATTATGTTCCGTGATAATGTCCCTTCATAATGTTCTATTTTATTGTTTTTCTTTTTTTTAGAATTTCCTTTGATAATGTTTCTTAGAAACGTCCTTTAATGAATAATTCTGTAATATTTCTTGAACATGTTTTATAGTAATTATAATTTATTTTAGTTTTAGTCCTTGTTCCTATTGCTTAAGATCAAAAACAATGGCGATGATTTCATTGAAATCATTGTCACCTGATCTTCGGCATTTTTCTTTTTTTGTTTCGTTATGATTGCTTTTTTTTACTATTTGTAAATAGTTATGTAACTTGAAAGGAAAATAAAGACCTTTTATTATTATTATTATTATTATTATTATTATTAGAATATTCTAGTGCAGGGATTCCTAAAGTGGTCGATACCGCCCCGTTGGGGTGTATTTGACGCATATACGCGATTTAACACGAACGAAATCTTGATCAAGTTCAAGTCCAAACATGCTCCTGATATTTTACTATACAGGTATGTACCAATATTTTGTATGTACCAATAAAAACAGCCAGGCCTGATATTTTGGTAAGTAATAAAGATATTTTAATTCTGTAACAGCCAGTTCATAGAGCACTAAGAGAGCTTCAATTTTAGGTATAAATTAATTTTAAATAGGTCAATATGTAGATGGCGCTGCGTTCAATATTTTTCTTATATAACAATTATTGAGCGCAGCGCCATCTACATACTGATCTATCTAAAATCAATTTATATTTAAAACTGAAGCTCTCTTAGTGCTCTGTGAACTGGCTTTTATAGAATTAAAATATCTCTGTTTCTTACCAAAATATCCGGCCTGGGAGTTTTTAATGGTACACCCTGTATAACAAGCAAGCACTTAGGTTAAAAGTTCATTTGCGTTGCATTTGCTTGAATGATAATACACAATTTATGTCAAGAGATTACAAAGTGATATTAAAATAAAGTGAATCAAAAAAAAAAAAATCTATTTATCACCCTACAATTTCATAAATACCTTAATGCCAAACTTTTTGGCTATCCTATATGTATTGGTACTGTAGGTATTTAAAAATAAAAACGATTTCCAAAAAGTTGTTTTTATTTGAAACATTGTGAAAAAATTTGGCAAATTCTAAAAATTTCAGTTGAAATGAATGATTCATCACGTAGGCAGTAAATAAAAACAAGTAGATAATAATAAAACAATACAGTGACACATTTTTTAAATTAAAATATTGATTAGGATTAGATATAAACCAAAATAGGAAGTAAAGTAGATAAATAACATCTATAAAGTTTACTTATGTGTTTTTAAGTACTTTTTTCTATCAAGTAAATTCAAGAGGTACTTCAAATAATTACTATTTTTCTCAGGTATTCACTATTGTTATACTGAACTTACGAATCTTTTTATTGTACTAAAATATATTAAATTAAATATATGTTATCTTGTTTGATAAAAATTTACATAAATATTTGATTGTTAATGATTGAATTTATTTATTTATTGATAACTACCCAACAGTATATACCATTTTCTAGAGAAGATAAACCAAAACTAAACTGGATTTATTTAATGTCACTTGATCAATTAATAGTAGATATATGATTTACCACAACAAATTATTATTTAAAACTAAACAAAAAAATTCCCAGTCAATGAAACAAATGTTTATTTTTAGTATCATAAAAATTACAATTATATCTGTTTACCAAAAGCTATTATTATTATAATTTGTGGAATCATGAAATATTATAATATTAAATATTTTGTTATTTAAAAAGACACTGATATTTTTATAACAATCAATTATATAATTATAATTCTTTGAGTGAAAAAAATTGGGAGTACATTTGAGAAAATTAGAAATTATACCCTAAGTATTTTCAAAAATAATTATAAATAGCAAACTGGTAAATAAATAAAATGAAATAAAATTTAAAATAAACAAGATAACATTTTGTCGTCCATGATAACAGAAAAACCATCCTGTAAAATATTCAAGAACACTACAGCTCACCAAAAGTAGCTTTGTAATAAATAATAAGAAACTGACATTATATTATTTCTAAAATATTGCTGGTGTATTTGGAGTTACTGTAATTTCTGTTTAACATTTATTTTGATTAGTTTTACACAAAAATCACTGGCAAAGCGCCTTTGGGTAAGCTGTACATAATGCATTGATCAACTAGAATGAAGATATATAATGCTTGGCATTCTATATTATATTATTTACAGTTTTCAAAGTAGAATGCAGGGCTAAAGGAGTCTATCAAATAGTAAGAACACCGGAACTTAAAGATAGAATTTTACATGAAATTGAGGAGAACCCTGAAACTAGCATGAGGAAAATTCTTATCAAAAATTTGTTAAACCCATATCACATTCAAAGAGTCCAGGCATTACTCTCTAGATATTTTCTGTTGCCCTTTAATTTCTTCTTCAAAATCCAATATTTGATAGGCATTTTCTTTGTACAGATGAAACTAATTTTTCTCCTAACTCAGTGCATCATATGGACCAAATTTGCTCCAAAATAAATGAGAATTTCAAAAGTATTTTTGTTTTTTAGAAAGAGCAGTAGCATATCAGCTTTCTTCAGAAATATTCAATTCAAACCCCATACGGACGTCACTGGTAAAAAATTTAAAAATCTCTTACTTCAAGAAATACTTAATGATTAAAAGGTGTGTACATAATTTCACAAAAATATCAGGAGTGATAAGAAAATTATGAGGAAAATTATGAAAAAAAAAAGTATAACATCCTGTAGCTCAAAAATGAAGAAGTGTACATTATATTGATATTAACTTTCAAGGATTCACACTCTTAAGTATCAGTACTCTATTAATAAACAGCCTATATATAAAAATTTAGTAGGTATAATAAAATATCAAAGTATATGTAGTATAGTAAAAGGTATAGCAGGTGCAAAACCAGTATTATATTTCTATGAGGTCAGGTACAAAGGGCTTGAGTCACAATTTTGAAAAATTTAGGTAAATTAAGGTTTTAAGTTTCAATTGGTATTAAATGCACAAGTCTAATACCTTTTGTTTAAGTGTAGTGAATTTGTATAATGACGGTAAGTGAATTTTTTTTGTATAATGCCAGATGCTAACATCTCAAGTTTACATTTTCTAGAAAACAGAAATTTCTGACTTAAGTCCCTATTACTTGATGTTAGAGATTTATACTTGAATATCCAATTTGTCTAACCAGTGTACTGCTTTCCAGATAAATACAATAATAAGTACTAAGTACTGTATATTTGATTAAGGATTGATCTTTTCACCTCTGAGTAAAGTTACATGACAGATTAACAAACAATGGCCCTATAGTTTAATCAGCAAGTAGTTACTTTGAACTTTACTATGAGGTAACCAGACTGGCCCTAAGGAAAGTACACATATATTTGCTTACATAACACCTGGAATAAAATTTCAGATTTCTATTAAGCGTTCTATTCAGTTTGAAAAGTAGAACCAGGTACCTCTTGTGAATTAGGAGTTTGTGCAGCAAAAACTGCATATTATGCATTAGTTAACTCTCACTTACCTTATGCTGTTGTTTTGAGGAGTTTGTTCTGCTATTTACAATTCAGAAATGGGCAATAAGGTTCTTATGTGAAGCACACAGATTAGTTTCATGTAGACCACTGTTTTTAAAACATTAAATATTAACAATACCATTATTATATATCTTAGAAACTTGTTGCATGATCCATAAGAACATATCGAAATATAAATTGAATAAATCTCATGTAATTCTCAAAACATAAAACATTCTTTCATATATAATGAAATCTAGATGTATAACAGGCTATCACATACTCTGACAGATATTGAGTCAAACAATTATTGTTTTAGAAAGTTGCTCAAGAGATTTCTGTTAACTAGGCCTGCAGAATTTTATAATGACAAGACACTGATATGTGTTTTATATTATTTCAGATGTATGTTTTAATGTTAATTTATAATGTGTTTAAATTTTAAAGACTATTTATTTATTCATGCTTTGTATAAAAACATTATGTTTGTCAATAAGTATTTTAACCTGGACAATAAACATTATATTCTATCTACCTGCCACTTTAAGTAAAAAGGATATTATGCACTAGAGTATGTAGGAAGGATGGGAACTACTCTATAGTTCACTACTAAGTATAACAGCATAACATATAGATAAGTGATTGAATGCAATACAATAAACAGGTAGGTGGTATATTAATTTATTTTAATGTGATTCATTTAACAGGTACTTGTTTTTAAGCATAACCAAATACCTACCTACTTACTGTTTTTTAGCTACTCTTAATGTATAATATACTGCAATTATAGATGACTTACCTATCATTAATCTAACAGTTTCAGGATTAAAAGGACTCCAAGTTCCATTTGAAAGGGCGGATCCAAGTTCGTCTGCATTGATAAATCCGCTTCTATCTCGATCGACTCTAGAAATTTAAATAATTGATAAAACGAAAATTAACTAATAGTTATTCAAAATAAATAAAACTAACCTTTGAAATACATCCCAAAGGAATTGCCTGTTGGGCAATGTCGATGCGAACTGACTCATTGTGTATTTATTCAAATTATGATTTTTGGAGACTTTGAGGTTACTTTTATTTACACCACTGACTACTGACGATTGCACAATTTGATTAAATTCTTGAATTAGTTTATTTTTATCCTTTTCGCAGAATAGACTAGTCAGTGCAATGCGTAAACAAATGACGTCAAACTGTCAAAGTCAAAGCCGTCATTCGTCATAAAAACCAAAAGTAAGGGGTAGGATCCGAAATAATGCTCGTGACACGTCATCACTCGTCATTTTTACACAATTAAGTTACCGCAACACAGAATTCAAATTTCCTCTCAATGAGGTTGATAATGTACTAAAAACCTAGTAGATAGGCAAAACTTTTTACGATAAAACACAATTTCGTTCTTAGCACGAAAATCAAAGTATGTGGTTCTTGACATTCCAAACAAAATGGCTGTCGGTGGAAAGGGTTGGTATATCTAAGGGGTTGCGACTTACGATGTATTCTTTCTACCCTATCTACACAACACGTGGAATCATGAATAATGGATTAAATTTAAATATTTTATGTCAAACGCAATGAAAATATTATTTTTAAGAACACTGCTTATACACTTTTCATAAATTGACAGGCTTGGCGCCTACTATTTCGATTTTTGCCAATTCGCTCAGTGCGAAGTCATGGAAGGGAAAGCAAAAGCGATACTAGCGCTAGCTGCGGATAATTCGTGCATTTTAGGGCGATATTTTGTCATTTTGGCATATCAAATACACGTAAACATTTTACTTTTTTCTTAAAAAGTACGTAAAAACAATACAATAAGCAACCGGAGTTGCTGTGTTGAAAATTAAAAAAAAAAAAAACTAGCAAACAAAACAGTTTAAATTATAAACATTTTCGGTAGCAAAGTGGAAATTAAATCAAACCGAAAAAAATGACGAAAATCGGCAGTTTTTCAAAGTTTTCTCGAAAATTTGACGGTGTACGGGTCAAACGGACCTCAGATTCGGATTCAGCGGGTCAAAATACATAAAGATATACCGGTCCCGTCAAAAGTACTGACAACTTTTTTTTTGTGTGCCGGTGTGAATATAATTATTTTTTTTTTTAGTTTAAGCGATAAAAATATAAAATAATAATAATATTAATAAATAAATGTTTTACTTATTTTACAAATCCATATACTTTTATTAAAACTAATAAATATACTTTTTAATTACGAATTCTATTATAAATTGGCGCTGTTGTCACGCACGGAGCGAATCAAATTAAAACAACTTATATGTGATGCAGATCAGGCTTTTAACAACTTAGCACGTTTGCTGCATTATCAGTAGCATATGTCTGGGGACGTTATACCCGGCAGGTGATTGTGTCATTTATTACATTGCACCCACATACTTTGATTTTCTTTTACTATACGGCACATACTTTGATTACTATACGAGGCAAGAGAGAGGTCCGACACGCCCAACATAGGGCGCGGCCATTTTGAACCCTGTGACACAGTTTACAGCTAAAGAATCAGATCGCTCATTCTGCGTCGGCACTTTGGATCTCAATGTTTCAGTTTATACACTGTGCAACTCGGATAATACAATATATGACAACCGCCTACAATAAAACAGCAGTCTTCTGCGTATCCTGAATTTATATCCCTGGAGTGGATGTTATTTTGGAACTTTCAAATGGTCCTAGTGAACTAACTGATTCTTTAGCATTAAACTGTGACTTCAAAAATAATATTCACTGACACTGACAGCATCAAGCAAAATATCAGGTGCGTTTTAATCATCCGCTTCTGCTTCCGGAATTGTCGGTTTAGTCGTTTTAACCTGTCAGATTAAAACAAGAAAATCAACAATTCCGAAGCAGAAGCGGATGTTTAAAACGCACCTATTAAAAATATTGCGCCAAGATGTAGGCAACACGTAATAAGGGTTCAAAATGGCGGAGTTTTCTATCTCCTTTTAAAAGGCACTCAGAAAGCTGCGCAGTGCGACCATTCTCCGTATAGTAAAAGAAAATCAAAGTATGTGCTATACGGAGAATGGTCGCACTGCGCAGCTTTCTGAGTGCCTTTTAAAAGGAGATAGAAAACTCCGCCATTTTGAACCCTTATTACGTGTTGCCTACATCTAGGCGCAATATTTTTAATAGGTGCGTTTTAATCATCCGCTTCTGCTTCGGAATTGTCGGTTTTCTTGTTTTAATGTGACAGGTTAAAACGACTAAACCGACAATTCCGGAAGCAGCAGCGGATGATTAAAACGCACCTGATATTTTGCTTGCTGCTGTCAGTGTCAGTGAATATTATTTTTGAAGTCACAGTTTATTGCTAAAGAATCAGTTAGCTCACTCGGACCAGTTGAAAGTTCCAAAATAACATCCACTCCAGGGATACAAATTCAGCATACGCAGAAGACTGCTGTTTTATTATAGGCGGTTGTCATATATTGTATTATCCGAGTTGCGCAGTGTATAAACTGGAACATTGAGATCGAAAGTGCCGACGCAGAGTGAGCGATCTGATTCTTTAGCTATAAACTGTGTCATAGGAATCAAAATGGCCGCGCCCTATGTTGGGCGTGTCGGACCTCTCTCTTGCACCGTATCGTAATCAAAGTATGTGTTGCGCCAAGATGTAGGCAACACGTAATAAGGGTTCAAAATGGCGGGAGTTTTTTATCTCCTTTTAAAAGGCACTCAGAAAGCTGCACAGTGCGACCATTCTCCGTATAGTAAAAGAAAATCAAAGAATGTGACCGGGATCGTTAACCAAGATGGCTACTTGACATTAGTATTTACCAGTGGTGTATCATATTTATATTGTTTGAAAGTGCGATATTTTTATTAGATTATGCAAGTATTAAAAGTAATTTTAAAAAAACCGACTTCAAAATCGGTTCAAAAAAGTGTTGCCTATGTGTCTTCATTTGTTGAAGCAAAATTGTGAACAATCTGTAATGCTGTAGAAAAGTGGTCAGTAACTGTAGTTTGTATTATTAAAGTTAATATATTTTGTAAAAATGTTTGTTGTTTTACTTTAAATAAAATATGGTCAATACAAGATTTAGATTCTCCCTGGACTATTTATGACCGATTTGTATTCAAATTAGTTCATTATGCTAAGATATGCATTTATCTGTTGGGTTTGTGATAAAACATCTATATTTATATCGTTTAGAAATAAATGACAATATTTATTATTACTATTATTCACCTGTAGAAATTGTTTTAACGATTCTATAAAAGTATTAATGGTAGTGGGGATCTATAATATGCAGTTATAACTATGTCTTTATGTTTGTTTAATTGTATGAGTAACTGACATTACTGTCCCCTAGAGGTAGTATTTTATATGTATGTGTTTTAATGTGGATTTTATAAAAATAACAACTCCATCACATTGATTTAAATTACCCTGATTGTATATAATAGAATATCCTGGAATATTAAATAGATCCAAATCATCTACCTATTATTCTTGTTTCAGTAAATACTACACAATCAAAATCTATATCTAAATTATTTAAAAAAACCTTCTATTCATCTAAATTTCTATAAAGGCTACGAATATTATTGTGAATTATTTTGAAATTATTAGTATTCCTATACAGTGAGCACCATAAGTCTTACCCCCCTATCTAACTCATTACTGGAGTCTTGTTAGGAAAATTGCCGAGAAAGGTCGATTTTTGATTTCTACAATGTACATTTTTGTATGATTAGTTTACCCTTAATTTCATCCCTTACTGGAGGGGAGCAACCCTTTCGAAAAATTTAAATGGCATGGGGTGGTGAGTGATAGCTCATTTGAAAGAGGGTTTTATTCTCTATTCAACCGTGCAAAAAAAATTGAAATTTGCTTCATTACGTGTTGATTTATTAACGTTTAAAAATAACAAAACCTCACAAAATAGGAAAGCAACTAAACTAACAGTGACCTTCTAATGGCAAAAAGTCTTACTTCACGTCTGAACCAAAACCGAAATCATGCAGGGCCGAATTTTAATTCTAAAGATGAGTGCGCTACGTTAATTTCCGTTATTCTGAAACAACAATTAGTCGAGAATTAATGAAGCAAATTTCAAAATTTTTTACACGGTTGAATAGAGAATAAAACTCTCTTTCAAATGAGCTATCACTCAACACCCCATGCCATTTAAATTTTTCGAAAGGGTTGCTCCTCTCCAGTAAGGGATGAAATTAAGGGTAAACTATTCATACAAAATTGTACATTGTAGAAAACAAAAATCGACGTGTCTCGGCGATTTTCCTAACAAGACCCCAGTAATGAGTTAGATAGGGGGGTTAAGACTTATGGGGCTCACTGTATAACGGGACCATTTTAAAAGAAGCCAATCCCTTTTCAAAATGCCTAATTTATAAACAATTTTTGTTGATCACTCCTTGTATTGATTTAATTATAACTGTCAAATTAGTTTAAAAATAATTCTAAAACCCTCGTTTTCAAAGCTGCCTCTAATTAAATGCTTGAATAACTCAATATAGTTACATTTTTTTATTTTAGTTAAATTCTTTTATGCATTATTAATTATGTCCATTTGAAAAATATAATGATGATGGTTATTCGTCGCTATTAAAATATTCCTAATTGCTTTACACGAATATTGAATGTATCATTTGTTCCAATTTATTTTTAATACACCTATTTCATAATTACAATATAATTATTGTCAAAAACACAGATGTGTATATTTTATATAATTTTTTTGTGGATAATAAATATGTATAATCGCCTTAATGGTTCTATTAATTTGAGTTACCTAATGTTTCCAGGTCTGTTTTAATTACATACCTAAAAATAATAATATTCATAGATTTTATGAGCCCTACCTCAACTAAATATTCTGGCTTTTTTGAAGAAACTTACCTGATAACTGTCTGTCTCTCTGAATGATATTTAAAGATACCAAAAATGCATTTTCAAAAATGTTTATCTTTGTACATTACACATTTTATATTTTTAATGGTTTAACCAACTTCACTGGGGCAGGGAGGTACTTTGGATAATCTTTAGATGTCACGTACCTCTACGCGAAAACAATGGTGGGTTAAAACGAAGGGGACGAAGACTACTGATTTAAAAAAAAAAATCTTATTAAAAATGGGGGTTTAAAGGGGGTTGAAATTAAAAACAAATAAATGAAAAACGAAAAGTGAAATATACGGAAATGAAGCATATGGATTCTGAAAAAAATTTCAATAATACTGGATGGTTAAGGGGAGGTTGAAATATTTAAAAAATCCTAAGAGAAAACAAAAATATTAAAAAAATTTAAGCAAAAAAAACAAGCTCTATAAGGGGACAAATCCTATATTGATTTAAAAAAAAATCTGAATAAAAATGAAGGGTAAGGGGGGTTGAAAAATTTAAATCTTCAGATAAAATCAAGCTTTTTAAGGAGATGAAGCATATCGATTCTAAAAAAAATGGGGATTAAGGGGATCTGATAAACTGTGAAGAGTATAATATATAATGCCAAACATTATACATATATCTTTATTCTAGTAGTATTTATATGTATTCGTTTATTTTATGCTATCTAAATTATAATAAATACAAGTACTAGGACACTTCATTCGATTATCTAAACGGGCCATGTGGTGCAAATTTTGCATTTTTTATTTATTATATTTTGTATGAGGGAAATAATGTAATATTTAGGTAGTTATTTATAACACTTGATTTAATTTTGAGCTATTTATAAATTAAAATACAATATTAAATTTAAGTTCGATCCTGAAACTGCCTGCAGGATACTCTACGCCCGACTAAATCCTTTTTTAGCCTATGTTGTAAAAAAAGGAAAAAATATCTTTGAACAAAACTATATTAAAAATGTATGTAGTAAGTTTAATATAAAACTAATTTGTTTTCGCTTATCCTCCGGTATAATTCTCACTTTGTTTTTGCATATAGGACCTCTTGACAGGTTTCTTTAACTTCTTAGGGCTGCGGAGAATAAACATTTCTGTATAACCTTTGTATATAAATAAATATTACAAACCAACAGCAATAAATTATTTTATTATTTTTTTTTTAATGTATCTACACTTGAAATAGTGGAAATTTTCTTAATATTCTCAATAATAAAATTAAAAAGAGACCAATTAGAAAAAAAGCAACTTTGCCTACTTAATATATATATATTATTACCTTGATCTTATAACTGTATATTTGAACAAAATTTGCACTTAAGCACCTACTTGTAAATTGGCAATAATTCATTTGTTAATTGGGGTGCAGAGTATCAAGTATTAACCTATACTAATATTAATACTAGGAAACTCTGTAACATGGTAATGTATCAAGGTTTCCAGAATGTTTAATGGTGCTATTGTGATGTCACTTAAAATTATTGTAATTTTAATTGCAAGCGATTTATATAAAAAACTTATTATTATTATTTGATTTAGTCAGTTAGCGGTCAACTTTATTTTGTTCAATATGATGATTGAGGTAGTCAAGTTGTTTGTTGTGGTGATAGTTACGGTTAAGTTCACGGAAGCTTGTGTAAGGATTATGTTGATATTATATGATAAGACAGGAGGAAAGGAAAATATTTTCGAGATTGTTTTTTTTACAATGTTTCAAGAAATTTAAAAAGAGATGTTTTAGTGTCAGAAAAAATTTAGTGCTTTGTAGTCGATTTATAAAACATCAAATTTATAATAAAGTATTTTTACTTTCCTATCTGTATACAGATATAAGGAAAGTATAGGAATCATGATTTTTTTCGACCTCGAGTTTTCGACGGATTTTTACGTTTTGAGGTCCCCTGAATTCGTTTTGACTATTTTCGCGATGATGTCTGTGTGTGTGTCTGTGTGTGTGTGTCTGTATAACGCATAACTCATGAACCGATACACGGAAAAATACCAAATTTCAAACTTAAGCTTTATTCCAGCGTCTAATGAGCTGATTAGATTTTGGGCAGAGTTGGAACATCTGGGGGGGTACTTTATAGGTGGTCATTTTTATATTTTATGGAATATATCTGTTATTTACGTTTGGGGAAGAAAATTTTTTAAATAAAAGTTACTTCTTATTTTATTATCTATAATTTTTGTCATTTACAAAATTTTCCTAAAATGGTCCGTATTCGAGAAATTTGACAAAATGTAAAAAAATATTTTTTTTTATAAAAATTGTTCAAACAAAAGTTGTTTGTAATATAATTCTCTATAATTTTTGTTCCATAGATAATTTCTCTAAAATGGACCGTATTCGAGATATTTGAGAAAATGTGTAAATTTCGAAATTTGAAGAAAACTCAAAAACGGATAAAGAAAAAAATCAATAAATTTTAAACTTAAGTTTTATTTCGGCCTGACGTGAAATGATTAGGTTTTGGACAAAGTCGGAACATCTGGGGGGGTACTTTATGGGAGGCCGTTTATATATTTTATGGAATATATCTGTTATTTATGTTTGGAGAAGAAAATTGTTCAAATAAAAGTTACTTCTAATATTATTATCTATAATTTTTGCCTTATGTAAAAATTTCCTGAAATGATCCGTATTCGAGAAATTTGAAAAAATGTGCAAAATTCTGATTTTTATGAAAATTGTTGAAATAAAAGTTGTTTGCGATATCGATCTCTATAATATTTGTTTATACATGATTTTTTTTAAATGGACCGTAATGGAAAAATTGTAGGAAAAGTGCTAAATTTAAATTTTTCAGTATTTTCATTTTCAATGAATATCTATAGAAAAATGTTTCGCGGTAGATGTATGTGGACAATGTATATATATTTAGTTTATCCTCTAAACATTTATAGAGATGCTGCAATAGGTTGTACACAATAAACGGAAAAAGCCTGTAATAACTAGATAGGAAAGTCATGTGTTGGACACATCAGATTTTTATTTTCACTAATTGCACAAAAAGAAAAGAAATTAAAAATATAAATTAATTAGTTTAATGTTCCTAAATTTAGATAACAATAAATTAATAAATAATAGCCCAAATAAATTGAACATTGTAAAAGAAACTTTATTTTTAGTCGATATATACCCTGTTCTACTTGATCATATTTATATTTTCTTCATTTTTAATATTTTATCCAATATTTTACAAATTTTTATTTTTCGAGTTAGGTAACGGTTATTTTTTTAGATCTTCACTTCTAAGTTAATCATGGATAGATTTTTATTGTTTAACTGTTGATCTTCTTAATTATTGCATTTCTTTTAACGTTTACGACTCTAATTATTAGAGCTTGGATTATATGTAAAATGCACGCCTGCATATTTAGTGCAGAATTTTATATTGCATATTTAAAATAATAATGCATATCTAAAAATAAAATATTGCTTATTTATCATTATTTTGTAAACATTACAATATTTTTTAATTGTACCTGCATTTTACCACTAAATATTAATCAAGTGGGTATTTTGCTTTCTAAACTACTAGGTATTAAGGATAAGGGCAATTAGGGGACGATTGATAGCAAATGGCTTCATAAAATTTATCAGTTTTTGTGTAACAGGTAGTTCATTCAGTATTATTCAAAATTTCTTTTGGTTAAGTATTGTTATTGGTTGTGTTCCTGCAAAAGTGCCGTTAGTGTGAAAGTAAAAGCGTTCATTTTAAAAATGCCGAAACAAGCTACGGGAAAAATGCAAATAATGGATCTATGGAAAAAGTGATTTGAGAATCGTAGACTCTAATCAGTCTAATCACTTTTTTTGCTCCACCTGCGATAAACTGGTAAGGATAACTAACATTTTTGTTGTATTTTTTACACTATTAACTTTTTTCAATGCCAGCTGAATCTTATTTTAGAAGTAAAAAGAAATAAAATCAAGATATGATATAAGAGCTATACTAAATTGTTTATTCGGATTTCATCTAATTTTTAAAATATCAACAATATAATAGTTTTTCTTTTTTTTTTTAATTAGGATTTTTTTTTTTATTTTTACTCAAAAGCTTTTCTCTACCAGCCAGATTTTTTGAAAATCATCTAGATTTTATTTTTATTTATAAAAATTCGCGTATTTTTAGTTTTAAAAATCTTTTATATTTGAGGATGACGTTAGATCTCTTTTTGCAGATTTTCTGTACTAAAAAATTTTAAGTGGATCAACATTTAGGAACAACAAGTCACTTATCCAGAAAACAACTTCCAAACCGATTGATTCAACAGTTAATAACATACCAAGAAACCACTTCTTATCATCAGGACAATTTTAATAGAGATTTGTGTAATTTATTTGTATCTTGTAATATTCCAATTCACAAATTGGATAATCCTCTGTTTATAAAAAATTTTAAAACTTATTTAAAGGAAGAAAATTTACCCAGTTCTTCCGTTTTGCGCAAAAAATATGTTCAAGTTAATTTTGATAACGCATTGAATTCTATAAGAAATGAAATTAATGATAAACCTGTGTGGTTTTCGGTTGATGGATCAACTGATACGCAGGAGCGCTAGATTGCAAAATTTATAATAAATGCACTAGATTAGAATATCCCTGGTCAAGGATATTTAATTTCAGTGCCTACAAACAATATTGATGCTGCTGCATACATGGTAAAAGCAACTGGAAACTTAAAAATATTTTATCCGAATTTAATCCATTGCACATGCTTATTACATGATTTAAATAGGGTGGTTAATGATTTAATTAAAAATATTGAAAAGGTTTTTGTAAAAGCTCCTCTTCGGGTTCAATTTTATAAGGATCGTTTGCCAGGAATTTCATTGCCACCAGAACCAGTTTTAACACGATGGGGCACTTCGTTAAATTGTGTTACTTTTATTGCGACAAATTTTAACGAAATTAAAGATGTCATCTGCGACTTTGACCCAGAAGACTCAATTGCAATTAAAAAATGGATCGATATTTTTAACGATCCTATAGTTTATAGCAGTGCTCCGCAACCTTTCCTCATCTGAGGCACACCAAACTGCTCCCTAGAATTTCGTGGCACACCAAAATCTAAAATATATTTATAGCAGTGGCGTAGCTAGGTCGGGGGTCAGTTCACTCCATGTATACTAATTATTTATGGATGTCCAAACTACCTTAGTTTTTTTTATTGTTTTAAAATGTGAAGAAGCCCCTTTCAGATTTGGGGCATCAAAATTTTCACTCAGGACATAATACATATTTTTTTTTAATTTTTTTTTATTATTCAGATAGAATGAAAAATACAAATAGGTACATACATGAGAACTATACTAAATACTAGGTAGGACAGGTAGGTATACTAAATTTACTTCTGTTGACACGTCAATAGTAATAAATATTTTGACATGATGATGACTGATTAATGTGATACCTGCGCTTGCTTCGTTGAACACAAAAGTTTTATATTCGGCTCAATTTTAGACAGCGCAACTCTCATTTCTTGGTCAAGATCTTTTAAGCATGACCGTTTATCATTTTTAATTAATACAAGCGTTGAAAAACTTTGCTCACATAAATATGTTGTGGAAAACGGAAGTAGTGTGAAGATTGCCTTGTCGGTGATGCGTGGATATTCTGTCTTGATGGAAATCCAGAAAACATCTAACGGAACTTCGTCGAATTTAAGTTTTAGGGTCATATCATTACTTAATTCTGTGAACTCCTCTCGAGTTTGCAATGGCAGTGCTTCCGTGGAACTTATTGCATTGGTTGCGAAAGGATTTCGAATCCAATTGTATTGTTCCGTGTTGATAGAATGGAAATAGTATTCAAATTTTTGTTGAAGCATACTTAAATGTTGTTGGGCCAAATCCACAATCAACTGCTTGTTTTCGATCGTACTGTGGTTGGTCCTGTGATACATTTCTAGACATCCTTTTTGCAACTGTTCCTGCCAAAGTTCAAGTTTCTTTTTGAACCCTTGTAATTTATCGGAGCACGTCAATATATTTTCATTCCGTCCTTGCATTTTTTTATTAAGTTCATTCAGATGTTCGAATATATCCGCCATGTATGCAAGTTTGGCTATCCAGTATTCATCATGAAGGTGCTGGCATAGATCGTACATATCTTGACTTGAAAGAAACTCACGCACTTCGTAGCGAAGTTCAAACAGTCGAGCTAAAACTTTTCCCCGGGATAACCAACGAACTTCTGTATAAAACAGTAAGGATTCATGTTCGCTTCCCATTTCTTCACAGAGTATTCCAAAGATTCGCGAATTTAAGGCTCTCGATTTAATTATGTTTATGATCTTAATACATTCATTCATTGTGATCGAAAGCTGTTCGGGCAAATTTTTGACCATCAATGCTTCTCGATGTATGCAGCAATGTGTAATTTGTATTGACGGATTTTTTTGTTTTACACAAGATACAAAACCTTTCTTACTGCCCATCATTGCAGCAGCACCATCTGTACAAATAGCAACGCAATTGGTCCACTGAATATTATGTATTTTAAAAAAATTATCAGTTACTTGGAAAATTTGTTCACCGGTAGTTCTCTCTGGAACCTCCTTACAAAATAAATAATGTTCTTTAATAGAGTCCTCGTCAACGAAACGTACAATAGCCATCAGTTGTGCTTTATTTTTAATATCGGTTGATTCGTCGATTTGAAGCGCAAAAATTCCAGCCGAAATGATTTTTTTAATTAGTGTTCCCAAAATATCACTTGACATATCTTGGATACGTCTTTTAACAGTATCGGCCGACAAAGAAACTTTACTCACGTCCTTAACTTCGTTTGGCCCAAGCATAAGTCTAACAATTTCCATGCATGCTGGTTTAATAAGCGTTTCACCGATAGTGTGCGGTTTTTTTTGTTGTGCAATTAATTTTGCAACAAGGTAGCTTGCTTCTAATGCCTTTTCAGAAACCGTAACCGCCGATTTCATAAACTGCTTTTGTTTCTTATTTTGATCCAAGCGCCGTTGGAAAAATTGAATGTCTTTTTTGACGCAACTGGGATGATTTGTGATCAAATGACGGTTTAGTTTGCTGGGTACCATTGCTTCATTTGACAACTGTTCACCGCAAATGACGCATTCAGGCTTTGGAGCCGCTTCGTCGCCACACCAAGTGAAACCATATCGAAGGTAGTCTTGATTGTACTTCCTTTTCAGCACCTTTTTTGCTCTTTTTGCAGCACTTATGCTGGAGCTTGTGCTAGGTTCTTCGTCATCTGCTCGTGATTTCAGCAAAAATTTATCCATATTTGAAGCACTATAGTTATTTATAAAAGTAGATACTGCAACAAAACTTAGTCCAGTTCACTTATTTATAAGGCACAAGAATTTATTTATATAGCAATTCACTATTTATTTCACTCTACGATTTATTTGTTTGCCCGCGTATTTATCTGATTCACTTGACTATTCGACTCTCTCTGAGTCTCTGAGCGACGACAGGCGCGCTTATATAGGCAGTGGCGATGTTCAGGAAAACATCGAGTCGCGCCTCGAACGGCACGGATCTTTCTAGTTTAGTCGCCTTCGAGAATCAAGTCGCCGCGCCGCGCCGATAGACGGATAGAGTCTATCCGATAGACGTTTACCATCGGCGCTGTTGTCAGATTGCTTTATTTTTCGCGGGTCTCGCTACAATACGAATCTGATTCGTATTGTCTGCAAGAGCGGCACACCTCAAGTCGGCTTACGGCACACCAGTGTGCCGCGGCACACCGGTTGCAGAGCACTGGTTTATAGCCATATTGTCCACATTCAAGCAAATTATACGTACATAGCCACAGCTATAACTAAGCTTGAATCTCGAGGTATGGAATTATTTGAAAGCATACAAACAGTTAAAAATTTAAAATCTTTTATTGGACAATCTGTGTTAATGAAAAATATTGTTACACGAAAATTTACATCAGTTTAACTAAATAATAAAGGATTTCAGACATTAGAGGGCATAAATATTGTTTTATCTGGCAACTTTAATAATGAATTGGATTCAAATATTTCACCACTTTTAATTTCAAAATTTAAATATGCACCTGTAACGTCTTGTGAAGTGGAACGTTCATTTTCGGCGTACAAACATATTTTAAGTGATAGAATGCAATGTTTCACTATTGAAAACATTGAAAAATGTTTAATAACTTAGTATTTTCATTCTAATAATAATTATTTAGATGTAATTGACAGAAATGTAAAATCATATAATCATATGTTTAAAAAGTCTATAATAAAATTTATATATCAAAAATCACTGTCTTTTTATTTTGCATATTTAAAAGCATATTTTGTCTACTGTTACCGCATAAATGCATACATATTTAGACCATTTTTAAATGCATATTTTCCAAGCCCTACTAATTATGAACATATTAGAAATAAATTCAACACTGTGCCTTCAGCATTGTGCTGTGATTTTATTTTTTATGAACATACGAAGTAGGAGGCCAACCTTATTGTAGTAGGACCATCTCACATTTACAATCGCACATTTTAATATAAATGAACTACATTACTTTTGAAAAAAATTATATATCATTGTTTTGATTATGTCTAATTATAATAATATAAGCTTTTGATTTGAAAAATCTAAATTCAACACAACGCAATGAACAAAACCGGTGTGAAGTTAGCATCCACTTTCCAGCAGCCAGTTTATCGGAAACATTCAAATTACTAGTGACATCGAAATGTATTTTTCGGTGAAGACAACAGTGTATTGAAATAAAATTACTACTAAATTTTTAGAAATCAATTAAAAAGTGTTTAGAGAGAGGATTAAGAGACAAACTGAAATAAAAATCCTTTGAAAATTCATTAAAAAATAACAAAATCGCTTAGGAACGAGACGAGGGGGCCAAATTAAATAAAATACCTTTAAAAATCTATTTAAAAATTAATTTGCCTATGAAGACAATTGGGCATTGAAATAAAATTAGTGCCAAATTGTTAAAAACTATAAAATACAACCTAAAATAATTAAAAAAATTACTTAGGAAGGAGATGAGGGGGTCATATTAAACAAAATTCCATTAAAAATCTATTTAAAAATTAATTCGCCCAATTGTCTTCATAGGCAATTCTTTATTTCTTTCTCATAAATGTTTTTAATACGCCACTGGTAATTATAACAAATCATTGCTTCTTATTTTGTTGAGTGAAAGAAAAAGATACCAAAGTAAAAAGTTGTACTGATAACCTTATAGTGGTGCTCTTTAAAAATTACACTTTATTTGGGACTAATTAAATAATTAATTAGATTAAGTATTTCTTTTCTAATTTTTGTTTTTTCTGCATTAAACTCCACTTTAGCTAGTATGCTAGTAGCTTACCAATTTTCATAATTTTCTAATGAGTAGTTTCACTAAAAATTCACTAATTTGAGCAGCAAATATTAATAGCTCTTTACACCTTGACAACTTATACAGGGTGTTAAAAAAAAGTGTCACAAAATGAAATGGTGAATAGTATGACCCAAAATAAGCAGAAAAGTCTTAATAAATATATGACCGCAAATTAACGGTTTCGGAGATACGGACCATTTTGTGTTTATAACAATTTTTTATTATTATAAAAAAACAATGATATTTATAAACAATCAATAACAACATAGAGTTAAATGAAATGTCCAAAGTGCCCTCCCTCCATTTCACTGCAGCTACGACATAAAATGCATGTCAGCTCATTAAATATTAGTGTAAACAGGCATAACGAAAATTTATAAAATTATTCACCCACAACAAAATAATAACTGCAAATAGTATCTATGAAAAAACATCGGTAGACTCCGATAAGAAAAGCAAGTTTTTGAGAATGAAAAAAGATAATCAAAAAATGATACAAAACACAAAACACTCCGTATCTCTGAAACCATTCATTTGCGGACATATGTTTATTAAGACTTTTCTGCATATTTTGGCCCATGCTACCCCCCGTTTTATTTTGGGACGCTTTTTTTTAACACCCTGTATACTTGATTTGGAGCACGGAGTATTCAATTGGCATTCAATATTGTTTTTATTGACTTGTCAATTTTGAAAAATTAATGTTTTTTTATTTTTAAATTGTTTAAGTAGACACTTATAATTATAATATCATGTTAAACTTATCGTTATACTCCTATACAAGCATCTATAAAAGTAAATCAATGCTTGTGTTAACTACATTTTAAATTAGATAGTAATGTATTTGTAAAATACTGCCCTATCTACACCTAAATAATAGACAGCATTTTTTTTAAATTTATTTATAATAATTACTAATTAGGGATCACTTTAAAATAAGTTGTAATTACCGTTCGTAGATTTCCTGTTTTTAATAATGGGAAAAGGAGCAAATAATAATTTGCTAAATATGTAGTATTAAAAACGCACACATGAAACTTAAATCACACATTTTTTTAATTCAAGGGGGGCCAAAAAAATGTAAATGACTTAGTCTGCATACCTAATAGAATTGTATAATTTCGAGAAAGATATATCTCTACAAAATTATAGTTTATTGAAAGTAAACATAATATTATAATATATTACTTATGATAAAAAATAGTACACCTAGAATCATTGACGATATTTTATTGAAATTAAGCAATTAGCCTCTGTATAACTGATGAAAATTTCAGGCAGGATATATAAAAAATGGCTTGATGTTTATCCTTCCTGAAATTAAGAGGTTTAAGACATATGTTGATATTAACTCAATTCACCTCCTTAAATATCGGCACTCAATTAACAAACGCCCTGTATATAAAGTTATTAAAAATCTATGATTAACCCACTTCTTATAATAATTAATTACTAAATTAATTTATTACCTTTTTAATTTTGTTATTTAAATAATGTTTAGACCTTACCAGCGTGTACCTATAATTTATGTACACTTTTTTTTTAATATATTTGTTTTGTTTTTCAGAATGGTTACCACATTAAGATTAACCGCATCGAAACTTGCATTGATAATAGTATAATTCAACCAAAAAATATCGCCGTTAATCTTGACAAAGATTGTAACATCGTTTATGGAGGATGTCTGGAGTTTACAAAACCTGTAAAAACTATGATGGTAAATTTTTAATATCTACGCCATTTATTTATATTGACTTGATAGCTCAGTTCTTCAATATTCCCTGGTATATGCTGTTATAGATTTCAGCGATCAAAGACGTTAGTGGTTCAGATCCTCCATAAGACCAAGTGAATATTTCTATAATTTGCATGGTTCGACTTAGGTAATCTGTTGATAAGACTTCAATAGTATAGGAATAAAACACCAGAAATTGTCAATTACCAAAGTGTGACGTGAAAATATAAACAACTCCATTCTGATGTGTCTCTGACTCATGCATGGATGCATTCGTAAACTAATCACTGCGCATGTCAGTCCGTGTATTCGTTCGTTGATGTATCAACGACGGAACTCAAAATGAAATGGGATTGAACAAACCAAAACATGTTTGATGAATAGGGATTTTAAATATTTAACATAATAAATTTATTTAGCTGTCCCGAACGATCTATTTGAATGTACAATTCTGAAAGATTAGAAAGTTTATTTATATTGAAAATAAGTAATTATTTTTCATAAAAAAAAAACGAACACAAAATAAAAATAAACAATAGCACAGACGAGAAGAGACGCTTAAATGCGCATGTGCTGATAAATTGTACAAGCAATGAAGCTCTGATCGTTTTGACAGTCCGCTGACACATTCATATACAAATTAGAAAATATGTTGGAACGTTTTACTGACAGATAATTCGTGGCTTTGTAGGAACGACTATTTTCAATGCGCATGTATCTGACGTCCTTCTGATGATCAGATTAGCTGTTGGAACAAACCTTATATCTTATGTTTAACGCAATTCAATGTTATTCTTTAACAGTGGATTTTATTTGTTGCACTAATCGCATTTGATTTGTTCAATGTAGCTTCAAATATTTGACACATACTTGACAAGTATGACAGTTCGAATTCAGTCTCGAGTGTAACACTAGTGCAACAAATAAAATCCATTATAAGCTTTCTTAACTGACATTTGACATTAGCAAAATGTAGATATCTATAGAGTTTTACTTTTAAAACTAAGAAATATGCTAAAAATGCCTACTTAGATATATGAAAAATAGTAATAACTTTAATATAAATAGGTTTTGTTTTTTAGGCAACATATGAAATTAGTAAAGCACCATTGCCACTAATAACTGGTGACCTTGACATGTGTCAATTAGCAGGTACTATAAAAATGCCTCAGCTACTTCAAATTGTAAACGGATTTGGATTTCCCAAAAAGTGTCCCATAGCAGCGGTAAGTACTTTTTTCTACAATTATTTGCATAATTACGTTGCAGTGTGAATCACTCATAAGAGTCTTTTGATTCTGATCTATTTTGTGAATAACTAAATACATTTTAATTATTTATTAATTACAAAAAAAAAACAACATTCAGATAATATTTAATAACAGAATGAAAACACTTGTATGCTAATCAACCTTTATTCCAAATATTAACTAATTGTTTATTAGTTTATTCGTCAAGAATAGTACACCCGATATTTTTTCTGATGTTTCTTCTATGAAAAAGTTTCTTCTGACATTTCTTCCTTAGGTAATAAAGTTTCTTCCTTAGAAGAAAATATGTCTTCTGAAATATTTTCTATGGAAATTAAAGCCTCCTCAGATATCTCTTCTATAAGAAAGATTACCTAAAGAGAGAAAACTGAAAGACTTGTTTAGGAAATGGAAGAAGAAAGCGTGATAGGCCCATGGGTCTTTCCCGTCTTTCCGGTAGTCCTGGTTTAGAAGGATGGAACTATGAGGTTATGTGTGGATTACCGTCAGTTGAACAATGTTACCAAGAAAGACAGTTACTCTCTGCCTCATATCGACGATACCTTGGACACATTGGCCGAAAGTAAACTATTTTCTATCTTAGACCTAAAGTTTGGATAATGGCAGGTGGAAATGGACCCAGTAGATAAAGAAAAGACAGCTTTTACCATCTGATCTGGATTGTGGCAAGTGCCGGCGGAAGGAACATATTTAGATCGGGCAAGCACTTTGACTGGCGCCCCTATAATTTAGGGTGATTATAACTCTTCTGATCTAACACGACAGGTGACGACTTTAAAAAAAAATGTGTTTTTTTCAGTTCCTTAACCGAAATTCTTTTTGTTGACCCAATGCTGTTGGACGCGTAGTTTATTTTAGATCCTTAAGTCTATTTTTTATAAAGGGTGTCCAAATTTGACTTTCGGATTTAATTTAATAATAAAATACAAAAAGTCCTTGAAATAATATAATATTATTGTATTATTTTAAAGTTTAAATGTTACGGTCAATAATGAATAATGATATCCGGCATGTGACTTCTCTGCTTCTTTAGCATGCTAACATTCTTTTTACAAAATTTTCAAGAATATTTTCGCAAACATTCTGTTCAATTTCTTCAATTTTTTAATTAATGTTAACTCGAAGCTGTTCAGGTGTTTGAGGGTTATTAGCATAAACTTTGCCCTTCAAAAAGCCCCACAAGAAATAATCCAATGGTGTAGGGTCGCACGACCTGGGTAGATAATTAACCTCAGCTCTTCGAGAAATTATTCGAATGTCAAATCTCTCCCTTAAAAGATTTAGTATTTTATCCGATGTGTGGCACGTGGCACCGTCTTGCTAGAATCACATGTTCTGGACATCCATATCTTCTAATTCGTTCCATAAATAATCTCGTAATCATTATCCTGTATCGCGCTCCAATCACAGTTACTGAATCACCAGCTTCATTCTGGAAGAAATAAGGACCAATAACGTCACTAGGCCAAAAACCACACCATACAGTCACATTTACTGGATACAGTCGTTTTTCTTATATTTCTCTTGGATTTTCTTCACCCCATATTCTGCTGTTGAAATCTCTTCACAAACTCTCAATACTTTAACAGATGGTGCTAAATTTCTTTCGAAATGCGTAAGACAACTTCTTGCAAGTTTCAGCAAAACATTCCCCATTTTGGTAATAAGTTTATACAATAAAAACACGGTTTTCGATGAACAGTTGTTCCATGTTGACCGAAAAACAAGTATCCGCAGTTTTTACTTGACATATGTCACCATAGAAATACTGTCAATGAAGATTACCAAAAATGGCGGCCAATTTAAATCGAAATGTCAAATTTGGACACCCAATACTTTTGTTACTTTTGTTACGTATCAGTCAATTAATAATTTATAGATAATTTTGGTCGATCGTGCGTCCCTTGCATTAGGCGCCCCGGGAGGCTGCTCAAGTCATCCGGAACTTCCACCGGCTCTGATTGTGGCAATTTAATTTCATTTGGAATATATATTACCCCTACAAGACTTATGGAAAAAATATTGCGACGAATTGAGAACCTGGAAAACATGCCTGGTGTATTTAGACGATATTATAGTCTTGGAGAAGACATTTAATGAACATCTAAAGGACGTAAATGTTTGTAAAAGACTTCAAGATAAAGTTAATTATCTGGTTCATATAGTCAGCAAGGATCAAGGTTACCAGGTTTTTGAAACAGATATGACGGACATATGGGGAAAATAAAAACAACTCAGTCCATTTTCATTCTTTTAATCAAAATTACCTATTTTTTAAGAAATCCGTACCTAATTTTGGTGAAGATAGTTTGAGCTGTTTTTACAAATAATTAGATAATCGCAAAGCTTTTATTTAAGGTTCCAAAAAATAATACCTATGTCACAAATTTCAAACAGAAATAAAAAAAAATAAACTGACAAAAAAAATAAAAAAAATAAACTGAACTAAAAAAAACTTAGGATTAAAATAACAAAGTCATTTAGATTTTTTTGTAGGGGTTTTCTCTTTATGTGTATTTCTGTTGCCACTGTCTTGAAAATCACCCGTTTTAAAAGGCAATAATAAACACAAACACCACATACTTTGATTTTCTCTTACTATACGGAAAATGGCCACACTGCGCAGCTTTCTGAGTGCCTTTTAAAAAGAGATAGAAAACTTCGCCATTTTGATGCCTTATTACGTGTTGCCTACGTCTTGGCGCAATATGGATTATTTTACGAAGAGGCCGCAACTGTTGCAGACGTGTCTTTTGAGATATTCAATGACCAAGGCAGACTTTTTGAATGCCAGCTCTTCCAAGGAATCTGTGACTGAATAGGCATGAAGAAAACCAGAACTACAGCGTTACACTTACAGTCGGGTAGAATGGTAGAGCGAATGAATAAGACCCATTGACAAATACCTGTCAAAAGTTGTTTCTAGCCATCAGCGATATTATAAATAATATAAATAAATTGTTTTAAATAAATTAACTATTTTTAAAATAAACAATGGACTCTATATGGTTGTTAAAAGATATTGTGGTATCAAAAATAATGCCTATATCAATAACTGTCGAGGATCTATCTAGGTTGACGCTGTCAATACTGTAACAGTTAAGAGTAGGAGTGTGGGATCTTGCAAAATACATGGTTGTGCACTTAGAAATATTTATAGAAAGGGCATTATTTTTACAGCAGGTAGCAAACCTGTTTAGGTCAGACTGTAAAGCGGGGTTAGTACCAGTGTTTCTACTAAAAAACTTTAAATCATCCGCGAAAAGAAGGCATTGGCTATTAAGTAAACAGGACGTAATATCATTAAATAATAAGGAAGACAATAGGGGACACATATGTGAACCTTGAGGAACACCAGATAGGACTGAAACATCACATGATACGGAATTATGCACTATGACATGTTGACACCTATTACTCAAAGAAGATTTAATCCAGTAAAAATAAGAACCAGAGATACCGATTTCGGAGAGTTTCTTGAGTAGCAATTCATGACAGACACTGTCAAAAGTTTTTGACAGATCGGTGTAGACGATGTCAACCTGGTAACCATTTTCAATTGATGAAATTAAGAAGTCTTGATAGATTGCCAGATTAGTTGATGTCGAGCGACCTTGATAGAAGCCATCTTGTTGAGGTGAGATATAGTTTTTATACGTGTAAAAAATTTCATCTGTTAGTATGGATTTAAATAGATTTGGAATTATCGATAAAATGGTAATACCTCTACAATTCTTTATACCGCTTTTATCACCTTTCTTGTAAACTAGCATAAGATAGGAAAACTTCCAAGCAGCTTGAAATATTCCACTATCAAATGATTTTTGGAAAATTTGGCTAAGTGGGATTGACAAGGAGTCACAGCACCCCTGCAAGAACGACGGTGGTACTCCTTCATTGCCCGCAATTTTACTAGAGTCAAGATTTTTTATTTTAGAAGAAACTTCACAAGGAGTAAAAGTGTGTATGGCTAAAAGTGGAATAAAATGGCACAGAGGGAAGATCAATTTTTCGGTTTAAGTAGTCTTTAGAATAGCACGTTTGGAAATAAAATGCGAAAGCGTTTGCAATTTCTTCAGGATCATTGAGTTCATAGTTTCCGTACTTCATTAAATTAGGCAATCCGTACTCTCGCTGCAAACTTTTAATAAATGTCCAAAAATGCTTTATGTTTTATGGAATTAAGTGCTCGGAGTTCAAAATAAACATTAAGTAACAGCACTTTGAAACTTAGTCCTCTGATATATTTGAAGATTATTCTTTTCAACAATCAATTTGCGTAATACAGCGTCAAACCACACAGGATATTTGTTACCTCTTATCTTCTTCTTTGGGACATATTGGTCGATACCTATTTCTATGATGTTGGAAAATTGTTTTACAATTTAGTTGATGTCATGGTAATGAGTTACGAATGACCAGACAGTGTTTATAAAGAAATTGTTTAAACCAGTAAAGTTGGCTTTATGGAACTGATGTACATTAACTGGTTTATTATTATTATTATTATAAGATGTTTTATATATATTTTCTACTGCTTTTCTACATTATTTTATGTTTTTTGCAATTTACAATATTTAAAAATAATTTTTATTTCAGAAAAAATTCTGCGCCACCGGAAATAAAAGTATAAGCATTGCAAAATTTAAAAATCAACTCAGTATGGCAGCAGGATTAACCGAGTTGAAATTGAACATCGATCACGATAATGGAAAATCGTGTGTAGCAGTGAGTTTAACAGTTTCAAAAAGATAGTAAAACTTGTGAAATAATGATTCGAGGTCTAAAATAAAATAATTTTATATGTTGGATGTTTTATTTAATTTTTTATTTGTCTAAACATTGTTTAAACAAATCTGTCACAAATTGTACAATATAAATCACAGTGGTAAAAGAACCTAACAACTAGGTATGATGTAAAACTATTCTATGTTAGCACAGCCTTATTGACAGTTTGTAGAATAAATCCGTAGTTAAAAATCAATCAATAATTAAGATGTGTTTGCGAAAATTATTCGATTTTTATAAAAATACTAATTTATATTTTTGATCGTCACTTTGTAATAAAATTAAAGGCTAATAAAGGTCCTTATTTCTTAAAATATTTACAAAATTAAAATTAGAACGATAAACAACTTTAATTTAATAAAGAAGTTCCGATGATATGTGGTACTCTGTATGTTTATAATGAGCTTGGAAATGTCATTTAGATTGTTTTTTTTTTATAGAAAGAGGCGTCATCTAACTTTAATTTAGTTGGATTATCTAGCATTTAACACATTCATTGCTGGCGCGTTTTTTATTGCAATTTACTCGGGTTCCGAGGCTAGTTTCATATAAGTTCAAAGTTTTCATTTTTTGGGCCATGATGCGCAAGAAATGAATTTCCACGGAAGAGATTTTCAAATATTCATCACCTCTACAATGAAAATCTCGAAAAAACTCGAAAATCTGTCTCAGTTAGTAATTGTTCCGAAATATTTCTCGATCATATTGACCGAGACGGCGCGCCGCGGCAGTTAACGTGTTAATCCTATAAGTTCGATAATACTAATCGTATCGACTTGAAATTAATCCCATTGTCCTTGTAAAATTAAGTTGCAATTATTGTTGATAAAAAAGTAATATACTTTTGTTCAATTTTCCAAGCCCATTATACTATTATTTAATATCTTCAATATTTGAGACATTTTCACCATTAAATTGGTGAAAAATCAAAATTTGCTAAAATTATTCCTAATCTTTGTTTTCAACCTCACTTATTCTATTTAAATTCATATTTGTTTCTGCTACAACAGATTTGTTGTTGTCATTTATATTAATAGTGCTAGTTTTAATTTCAATTTCATCGCTTTTGAGAGAATGAACGCTTAAATACTTTTGCGATTCAATATATGAAGGTGGATCAATGTTATCTATAGTGCCATTTGCTGTCTCTGCCTCGTCATTTTTCTGCACTTTATTATAGCTTTCTAAGTTTTGAAGATTACTGGAAACACTGGATGAGAGTTCTTCGTTGGTAATTTTTACAGAGTTTACAGCTGTCACTTGGTTGCCAGTTAAAATTTCTTTTGAAGATGTCTTAGTTATATTTGAAACCTAAAAATAAATTAAATTATAATATGGTCAATGCAGGTTTAATTGTATAGAGGTCATTAAAAAGAGGATAAGTTTTTTCTTTAAATTTTCAGAATTTGTAACATTATAAATACAGGGCCAATACCTTCAATTATTATGCTTATTTTTATTATACAAATTCTTCTTTTAACCTTAGAAACAGCAGTCTCTATAATTCTATAATTCTATTTGCTGTTTTAAGAACTACTCGTGGAGAGGTCTGTGGGTTTTTCTTTATCGAAAATGATGATTTGGGCAAAAAATTACTCTGTGACCAAACAAAAGCTACAAAATTCCCTACCAGAATATTATTATTACAAAGTTTTATATTCTTGATGGTTTTCTATGATAACAGCTATTAAAAATCGCAAACAATAATAGATTAGTAGATGAAATTTAAAGACATCAGACTACTTTGGTAAAATGTCCATCCAGTTTCCCTTTTTCGGTTGGAGGAGATATTGAAGAAGCTTCTGGATATTTGAAGCCGAAATAATGGAGCTCAAGAAGTGGTGTAAGACTATCGAGTTCATTTAGAACGAAGGAGTGACGTAAGATCAGATAAAGTGATATAAATACCCCAAGTCCTCTTACAAGGGTATCGAACTTTTAGTTACAGTTTGTGCTTTGTCTTTGCTTAGCAGTGCAAACTTTAAATAATAATAAAAACACTTTATTGGTTATGAATATTACAACCAAATGGCCATCGACCTAGGTCCTTTAGCCAGTACAATTTGTATGGTACGTATGAGGATTTACAAGCTATATGTGTAAGATGAATACGAATATTGAGAAAAAAAAATATGTGTCACTAATTATTGTTCATCAACAAATTTGTTTAAGATTTCTGTTATTGATCTCACTGGGTATTTAAACTTTGCTTGACCAATTTGTCGTTGCATCGAGAAAATGTTTATTATCATGTGATTGTTTCGTTTCTTCAAAGAAAATTTTTGACAGTTTTCTGATTATTTCCAGGATAGGCTGAATCTTAGTTTTTTCATAAAGATATTCGTTCGCTGGATGGTGAATGGGGGTTTCAGGATGTCGCATCTTGGTAATTATTCTTAGTGTAGAAGTTTCGGCCACTTGAATGTTTTTTAATGCAGGTTTTCGGCAGTTTAATTATATAGTGTGACCGTATTCCAGAAGAGGTCTGCAAATTGTTTTGTAGATTCTAGTGGCCGTGTAGATGTTGATACCTTCCTTTTTGTATGTTAAAGAGCGAAAATGTTTGGCTCTGGTTTTGTTTTTGTTTTTTTGTCTGCGGGTGTGTTCATTGAATTTCAGCTTATTATCAATAATAAGGCCTAGGTATTTCACTGAGGATACGGGACAGATTGGTTGGTTAGATATGATGAGTGTAGGTGATGTCGGTCTTAGATCATGATAGGGTATCATTAATTGACATTTTTGTGGGTTAACTTGTAATCTCCATTTATTGAGCCGTTGAGCAACTTCGTTATATTGATTTTGTAGTGCTGTGATGGTTTGATTCAGCGTATTTCCATGCAATATCAAGGTCGTGTCATCTGCGTATTGGAGTATGTAATTTACTGCATTGAGGTGTAACTGACCTGAAGGAAAATCAAAGCAATATATGTTGTAAAAGAGCGGAGATAGTGGCGACCCTTGCGGTACACGTGTGGTTATTTATTTTAACTCTTAGAGTTCTGTTTTGAAGGAAGTTTTTGATAAGAATTGTAAGACCATCAGGCACATTAAGAAGTTTTAGTTTGAATAGGAGGCCGTTGGGCCAAACACAGTCAAAGGCTTTTTAATGTCCAACATCAGAATACTAAATTGTTTATTGTTCAATTTTGTGGTTTGCACATTGGAAACCAGTAGAGTGGTTGATACCAGAGCGGAGATTTGTTCTCTAAACCCAAATTGGAATTGCGAAATTCGTTCGTTTACTAATGCTGATAGTTTGACAATAAGTTTTTCGAATTGTTTTCCCAAAACTGGAAAAAAGGTGATTGGTATGTAATCATCAATTTTTTTGTGGTCTGTACCTGGTTTTGGGATAAATATGATGGCAAGCGCGTAGCTAGGTTGCTTTCTTGGGGGGGGGGGGGGGTAACACTCTTACATTATTGGTGAATGCGCAACGTGTACAGATGCAACATCTAGAGTTCATATGTGTATTTCCAGAAAAAAAAGTGAGGTTTATAATGAAGTTTTTAATTTTTTTATAGATTTATACAGGGTGTTTCAGAATAAAGTACCGTAATTTTGGAGTTTTGTAGATCCTAATCAATTATAAAGAAAAGCTAAATATAATTTTCCTATGAACATTCAAGTTTTCATTCTACAGGGTGATAAGTGAATTTTCTAAATACATATTTTTTAAATATTTTCCCTTACAGTAAAGAATTTAACTTAAAAATATGTATATGATAGTTAATCGCTATTAAATATTTTCCCTTACAGTAAAGAATTTAACTTAAAAATATGTATATGATAGTTAATCGCTATTATTAGTTAACACTATTTCGATAAATTACCGTAACCAATTGGCGTAGAATGAAGGGCTAAACAATTTTATCCAAAACTTTTTAGCAGCCAATATTTCATAAAACTTAAGATTAATAAATAATTATCACGCCATTTGTCACAAAGAAGGGACTTCCGGTTGATCTTTGTAGACCATTCTATTTCCGAAGTGATAGAACTAATTTATACAGAATGTTTTGAAACATGTCTTAAATATGGCTAATTTTAAGTTTAATTTACTCAGTTTTGTCAAATGCAACACACTGCATATTATTTCCGCATAAACTTCTTTATAAATTTACTCATCCAACGATTAGGGACGGCAAAATGAAAAAAAAAATATCGATATATCGAATCATGTGGTATATCGAAATAATATATCGATATAACGAATAAAAAACATATTTTGAATATATCGATATATTTTTAATGAAATTTATAAAAATACATTTTTTAAAAATTAAAATACGATTTGTATAATTTCCAACGCTAGTCGTCTTTTGCCAGATAAACGGTTTCGGCTTTTCGCGGAGAGCTCGTATAGACAGCATAATGACGAGATTTGTAATATAAACTTCTCTCTGAAGGATTATATTAAAAATTACATGTGATTGTTTCGTTTCTTCGAGAAATTTTTTGACAGTTTTCTTATTCTTTCCAGGATAGGCTGAATCTTAGTTTTTTCGTAAAGATATTCATTCGCTGGATGGTGAGATACATACCATACAAATAGTACTGGCTGAAGGACCTAGGTCGATGGCCATTTGGTTGTAATATTCATAACCAATAAAGTGGCTTTTATTATTATAATTAAAAAAATGAAAATATTTCCTATTTTATATTATATAAATCTTTGATACGCCTCTGCTTTTCTGTAGTTTGGCGTGTCCAAGTCAATAGGCCGATGACGTACCTGGACTGTAAACGAAGTCAAAAACATATTTGCCTTGATTCATAAAAAACACCACAGAACACGTGTAAACGAAAAATTATTATTTGGAACATGCGGCAAATTACAAATAATTTTCGAAAATATTAGGTTTACATTTTTTAATTTAAATATCTAAATTATATAACTATTACAGTATCTATCTTGATTTTCAAGTTACCCTATTATATAATGTTTACTTACCTCATAATTTGGACAACAGTGATTTTGTTTACAACCTTCCCCAATGCAAGACACTAAACAGTTTGGAGTATACTTCGAACTAATACTTTCCATGCTCACATTCTTCTTAAAAAACTCAGGTTGTATTGTAACCTGAGTAATACCACTGTCTAGGAAAAATTCTTTAACTTCTTCTATTAGTTCCTTATAAACCTGAAAATTATGGAAAAGTTAACATTTGTTTTTTTTATTTTAAAATCTCAACAATTGCTTGAAAAAAATACAACGTAAAATTAACTGGACAAGATAATAAAAATTTCAGTTAATAATGTTTAATTATAATTATTTTTTACCAAATAAACTAATATATGATTTCATACTAGTAAAAATAATCTTTGTTTAAAAAGATAAAAAGGAGAAAAGCTAAATTTTTAGACAAAGATCAAAATAAATGTCATAAAGGTTCATAAAAATAATTCGATTCTTGCAAACAAAATTAATCTAGTAGGAAATGTACCTCATTTCTTAATCAAAAATAGTTAAAAGGTAGTGTAGAAAAATATTATTTTTGTAGATGTATCAACTGCTATAAATAAAATGAGTACTTTGTTAAGATTTAAATAAAATAATTTTAAAAAATGATTTCATTTCAAAAACTCTTGCATTTGATGGCTATAAAAAATTGCTACTTACTTTGGGATTTTGAAAAATTATATGCACCGTTGATATGACTTTAGACGCAGTTAATTGCCATATATGAAAATCGTGTATATTAACAATATCAGGAAAATGATTTAGCAGCTCTATTTTTAGCGAGTCTATATTGATGGTATCAGGCATAGTCTGAAACAATACAGAAAAAAAACTATACCTACAGTCTGTTCGCTATACTTACGCGGGTTTCGGATTAAAAATTTAATGAGTATTTCCAGGTAAGTACCCGAAAGTTTGACCTGTTCTTTGGGAAAATATCAACTGGTTAAATGAAATGAAAAATAATGTACAACTTTTTAATTAAATAATAATGGAGAATCTTTTGTATAATTGAGAACAAAATTAAACTTCTTCATTAATGGAGTCTAATGTGGCTATTATAAACCTAATAATAATTTTATATTACACTTCACACAGAAAATATGGTCTATGTATAATAAGAGGGTTATTTAGCTCAAATAAAATATTTTCTAACATAAAAATTTGTTCCATGTAAAGAATTTCAAATGAAAAATAAAAAATTGAACTTGCCAACAAAAATAAAAATCAGTCATTATCATCCAAAATATCATAATCGTCATCATCATCACTGTCATCACCATTAATTGTTATTATGATTGGACTTATTTCGTTTATTTTATTTTCACGAGTCCCCTAATCTTCTATTAGTTTCTCGCACTTGGATATACAGTTCCGCCACACTTTTGGAGTTGCAATGAGCCTTTTTCCTGGGAAGATTTAAAAAAGATCCGCTAGGGGCAGCACCGGTGGGGGGGGGGGGGGGGGGGTACATATGTATATGTTTTGAATTTTCTATTAACAACAACGTCAAACGTATAGATTTATAATGGAAATGAACGGAAAATGATGTACCTGGAGCGAAATTGAAAGTTGCAAAAGTGCAAGATCAGAAGCTAAATTATTATTTAATTTGGATTTTTGATTACTATTAGCATTTTTATTACTAATTTGTAGTGATTCAACATCAGTAACAGTAGAACAGATAAGTTTTTGATGTTTATTTTTTCCAGTGCTCGAGTCCTCTTCAATACATCGTTGCTGTCTTTTATATTTCATACACAATTAAAAAGAAGTTTAATTTCATTATTTACTATCAATAATGATAATAATATGTAAACTGATATAAAATATAACCTCTTTGAATAAACAATTACTAACCTTTGAAACTGTCGCTGGCAATGGATTTGGGTTTTCTATTGTTGGTCCATTTGAATTAATAAAATGTCTTGTACAAATAAAAGTATGTTTTTTTTATTTTTTTAACTGTTAAATCTGCCCTTCGTGATAAATGTATCCACTCCAAACACTTTTTTTTGTCAACTTGTGGTTTTAAAAGGCACAAATTTTACACCATCTTGCTTGTAACGATTGTCAGACGTACAATTTGCAAACGCACAATGTTTTGTAGGCATGACAATTTGTTTTTTACTTTCCTATCTGTATACAGATATAAGGAAAGTATAGGAATCATGATTTTTTTAGACCTCGAGTTTTCGACGGATTTTTAAGTTTTGAGGTCCCCTGAATCCGTTTTGACTATTTTCGCGATGATGTCTGTGTGTGTGTGTGTGTGTGTGTGTGTGTGTGTGTGTGTGTGTGTGTGTGTGTGTGTGTGTGTGTGTGTGTGTGTGTGTGTGTGTGTGTGTGTGTGTGTGTGTGTGTGTGTGTGTGTGTGTGTGTGTGTGTGTGTGTGTGTGTGTGTGTGTGTGTGTGTGTGTGTGTGTGTGTGTGTGTGTGTGTGTGTGTGTGTGTGTGTGTGTGTGTGTGTGTGTGTGTGTGTGTGTGTGTGTGTGTGTGTGTGTGTGTGTGTGTGTGTGTGTGTGTGTGTGTGTGTGTGTGTGTGTGTGTGTGTGTGTGTGTGTGTGTGTGTGTGTGTGTGTGTGTGTGTGTGTGTGTGTGTGTGTGTGTGTGTGTGTGTGTGTGTGTGTGTGTGTGTGTGTGTGTGTGTGTGTGTGTGTGTGTGTGTGTGTGTGTGTGTGTGTGTGTGTGTGTGTGTGTGTGTGTGTGTGTGTGTGTGTGTGTGTGTGTGTGTGTGTGTGTGTGTGTGTGTGTGTGTGTGTGTGTGTGTGTGTGTGTGTGTGTGTGTGTGTGTGTGTGTGTGTGTGTGTGTGTGTGTGTGTGTGTGTGTGTGTGTGTGTGTGTGTGTGTGTGTGTGTGTGTGTGTGTGTGTGTGTGTGTGTGTGTGTGTGTGTGTGTGTGTGTGTGTGTGTGTGTGTGTGTGTGTGTGTGTGTGTGTGTGTGTGTGTGTGTGTGTGTGTGTGTGTGTGTGTGTGTGTGTGTGTGTGTGTGTGTGTGTGTGTGTGTGTGTGTGTGTGTGTGTGTGTGTGTGTGTGTGTGTGTGTGTGTGTGTGTGTGTGTGTGTGTGTGTGTGTGTGTGTGTGTGTGTGTGTGTGTGTGTGTGTGTGTGTGTGTGTGTGTGTGTGTGTGTGTGTGTGTGTGTGTGTGTGTGTGTGTGTGTGTGTGTGTGTGTGTGTGTGTGTGTGTGTGTGTGTGTGTGTGTGTGTGTGTGTGTGTGTGTGTGTGTGTGTGTGTGTGTGTGTGTGTGTGTGTGTGTGTGTGTGTGTGTGTGTGTGTGTGTGTGTGTGTGTGTGTGTGTGTGTGTGTGTGTGTGTGTGTGTGTGTGTGTGTGTGTGTGTGTGTGTGTGTGTGTGTGTGTGTGTGTGTGTGTGTGTGTGTGTGTGTGTGTGTGTGTGTGTGTGTGTGTGTGTGTGTGTGTGTGTGTGTGTGTGTGTGTGTCTGTATAACGCATAACTCATGAACCGATACACGGAAAAACACCAAATTTCAAACTTAATCTTTGTTCCAGCGGCTAATGAGCTAATTAGATTTTGGGCAGAGTCGGAACATCTGGGGGGGTACTTTATAGGTGGCCATTTTTATATTTTATGGAATATATCTGTTATTTACGTTTGGGGATGAAAATTCTTCAAATGAAAGTTACTTCTTATTTTATTATCTATAATTTTTGTTATATACAAAATTTTCCTAAAATGGTCCGTATTCGCGAAATTTGACAAAATGTAAAAAAATATTTTTTTTTTATAAAAATTGTTCCAACAAAAGTTGTTTGTAATATAATTCTCTATAATTTTTATCCTATAGATAATTTCTCTAAAATGGACCGTATTCAAGATATTTGAGAAAATGTGTAAATTTCGAAATTTGAAGAAAACTCAAAAACGGATAAAGAAAAAAACATTAAATTTTAAACTTAAGTTTTATTTCGGCCTGACGTGAAATAATTAGATTTTGGACAAAGTCGGAACATCTGGCGGGGTACTTTATGGGAGGCCGTTTTTATATTTTATGGAATATATCTGTTATTTATGTTTGGAGAAAAAAATTGTTCAAATAAAAGTTACTTCTAATATTATTATCTATAATTTTTGCTTTATGTAAAAATTTCCTGAAATGGTCCGTATTCGAAAAATTTGACAAAATGTGCAAAATTCTGATTTTTATGAAAATTGTTGAAATAAAAGTTGTTTGCGATATCGATCTCTATAATATTTGTTCATACATGATTTTTTTAAAATGGACCGTAATGGAAAAATTGTAGGAAAAGTGCTAAATTTAAATTTTTCAGTATTTTCATTTTCAATGAATATCTATAGAAAAATGTTTCGCGGTAGATGTATGTGGACAATGTATATATTTAGTTTATCCTCTAAACATTTATAGAGATGCTGCAATAGGTTGTACAAAATAACCGGAAAAAGCCTGTAATAACTAGATAGGAAAGTCATGTGTTGGACACATCAGATTTTTAATTTTATTTATCACAATATTTATTTATTCTAATAACAATAAAACGTACGTTTGACGTTGTTGTCAATAGAGAATTCGAAACATATGTACCCCCCACCGGTGCTACCCCTAGTGGATCTTTTTTAAATCTTCCCAGGAAAAAGGCTAATTGAAAGTGCTTTTCGCCAAGTTTCCCGAACTGCGTCGTCACTATAACCCCAGTATAGTTAATAATACAGTAGCGACAGCTTGAGTCGGCTCCTTTGATGTCGGAGTGGTCAGATTTTTATTGACAGTTGACGTTTTCGCCGCTTATTTCTACACTGAAATAAGTAACTTTAAAATATATTGACCATTTGTCTGATTGAATAAAATATCACACAATAAATGAAAGATGAAAATTAAGTATAAATACAATAAAAATGTATTAAAATGTGCATTACAACCTATCAGATAATCAAAACAATCAACTACCATTAATCCATTGACAATTCACATGCGCAGAAAAATATAAAACCCTCATAAACAATGAACTGTCGCTATAATCATTAGGCCCAATATGGTTGTCATAAAATTGTTCTGCTATTCCCCATATATATTCGATGGGATTAAACTGGCAATGATACGGTGGCAGACGTAAAACTTCATGACCGTAACTTTCAATAATCTGATCCACAACAAAGGTTTTTGGTTTTGCGTGTATATTTGCCAAGCGTAATAATTCTGATTTTAATATATATTGAGGAAGTGGTATATGTCAACCATTCTTTAATTTTATCAAGAGTCCAAAAATTCGTTGGACTTTTGTTTAATACTTCAGAATGGTAAGGTGCATTGTTTAAAATAATTACGCTGGGCTCACTTAAACCTGGGAGAAGTTTTTCATGCAACCATTTTACAAACATTTCTGTGTTCATATTATCGTGATAGTCGCTGGAATGAAAATGAAATTTGGTAGTTCGCTTAAAATTGCTTCATGACTTCTATCCCAAAAAGTTGGAACCTAAAGACGGTCCTGTTGAAAAAAACAGCAGTTTAGAAACTGATGAAGGCAGTCAGAGTGATGAAAATAATTAAAGTGTTCATTGTTTTTGTAACTTGTAAGGTTAATTTTTCAGATTTTTTTTGTAACAGAAATGTTGTTTGATTTTTATTTTTTTATATTGTTAGATAGAATAAAAATTTCGGAAGTAAACTTTTTTCTGAGTAGAATTACTAGTTAATGGTTGAAAAATCAGCAAAAATCAGTCAAAAATCCATGAAAATATTAAATCAGCTTCTTCTATAAAACCCGATTTCCCTTCCGTATGTAAAATTATGTGTCGTTTCCCTTCTCCATCGGTATGTTTGATGGACTTTACGTTATCATCTTGCCATATTCTCTTGGTTACACTCCTGGAAAATATCCATGTAAATTTAGAATATTTTCTTAGAAAGTTAATTATGTTGTGCACGACATAACTTCTTTCACAAAGGGCCTTTCTATTATCCTCCTTTTGAAATTTGAAACCCAAGTTATGTATCACTTGCCATAGACTTGTTCTGCCAATGTCGTCAAATTTTCTATTAATTCCTAATTGTATTTAAGGTCACATGTTCCTTGTTGGCCCTCATTCGATAAATGGTATCACGAATTTCAAATTTCTTTCCATCTGGAATATCTTTCGTTTTCAATGATGGGTGAGTTTTGCGGTGATCTTCTTTCGGCTGTTCACTATTGTGATTTTGTAATACTTCTCTTAATTTGGTTCCACTAATTCCTAGAGCATGGCATACGCGTTGTTGTATAGACATTACCGATTTTAAAGGACCGCCATTTTCTTTTTCATCCGTAAAATACTTATGTACACTACAAATTAGACTATCTACATCTAACACACGTCTAGGCATTTTTAAAATTTACAATATACATACAATGTCAACACTTGCAAAGAATCAATTCAAGTGCAATATTTGTAACAAATTTAGTACCTACCCTAATGTTATTTTAATTTAAATCTGACCATTAGGGCAATTTTACCTAATTTCTTGGGAAGAGGCTTATCGGAACTGGTTGTCAATGACTAATTTGCATAATTTTGTTAATCTGAAACCCGCGTAAGTATAGCGAACAGACTGTAGCTCTGTGGTGAACTTAAATATTAAAAATATTTAATTAATGTTCTTACAACTGACTGTACATCTCAGATTTCTTTGAATCAACAGACATTTATAATAACTAACTTTTAATCTACTCAAAGCTGTCAAAATAATATCTAGAATTTAAGAATATACTCACTGTATGGATAACTTAAAATCATGATAAACCCACATGATATTAAAGCCATAATAGGATCAATATATTTGGCAGTGTCTTTATCAATAAAATATACTATCAGCGCACATATTATTACTAAAATACAACCTGAAACAAAAAAATAATTTTAAAATCAAAATTTTGACTTTGAGAACTCTTATTCTTAAATAACATTATCAAAGTTATCAATGATGTTCAAATAATATTTAAAATTAACATATATAGAGGATGGATGTCTTTTTAAGAATAGCACACAAAACAACTGACAATTCTCCGATTAAAAATAAGACGATTAAACGAAACAAGCTTGAATAAAATATTAATAATTCATAAAATTATTAATTTTAGTCAATTATAATTCATAAATTTTCAACTTTAACACCCTATATTTCGGAAACCAGTAATATTTTAATAAAGCATGTTTCTTTTTGTGCGGGTTGTACAATTTCAAAGGTGTCTAGTGACTAACTTTCGTCCAGAATATTTTTTTTTTTTAATCATATGCATTTTTATGTAGACACAGATATTAAGATCAATATTTGTAAAAATATATCACTAGATATATTTTGATAAGTGATGGTATCAATAAATATTAATAGAATTTAAACTAAAAATTACCGTTAATATCTCTGGTCATCTCCCACAGCCCTTGTCTTTCTCTTTGAGGAACAACCGTTTGATTAATAGTCTTACTTCTAGACAGTCTTCTTGCACCTTGTTTTAAAGATTGGTCAATTACAACTTTGCTCAAAACAACATCTCCACTCTTCGTTACATAAAGGAAACTACCTTGATGAAAAGTATATCCTCCGATTAGAAGATAAGTCACTCCGTTCAGTAGTAAGCCTGCAGCTCCTAAAATAAACACAAATTTTATTAAGAAATGAAATTTTGTATTTAAAACGTATATAATTTTTTGCAATTATTAATATACAGGGTGTTATTGAAATACACGTACATATTAAAATGGGGAATAGTATGTAATGACCAAAAACGATTGGCACCAATTTTAACTTCAAATTCTAAAATTTAAATATTGGGGAAGAGTCCCCTTTTCCGACCTACTAGTTTCCATATTTAAAGAAGTAAAATAAATCGAAATTGAACTTACCCATAGAAATTGCACTGTTGCCGTAGCAAAACCAATTAATTCAAAATAAAGTTTATTACAGTAATTGTTCAAAATGCCGTCCATTATTATTTACACAAACTTGCAATTGTCTTTCCAAAGAACTTTGAACATTCTTGGATTTTGTCGTAGTTCCTCGGCTACCGCATTAACTTTATTGGTTAATTATTCAACACTATTAATAGGTTCATTATAAACCAGTTGTTTCATGTGACCCCACAAAAAGAAATCGCATGGATTTAAGTCCGGAGATCTCGGAGGCCACTTAGTAGGTCCGTTTCTGCCTATCCACTTTTGAGGAAATCTAATGTTCAAAAACTGCCGTACGTTTAAATCAAAGTGAGGAGGAGCGCCATCTAGTAGGTACCACATCCGTTGCCTTAATTGTAACGGTATCTCTTCTAGGAGTACTGGCAAAATATCTTCTAAAAAGTGGAGATATCCTGGCCCATTTAATCTGTTCGGGAGAACATAAGGCCCGATTAAATACTGATCTATTATGCCAGCCCAAAGATTTATTGAAAATTTTCTTTGATGCCCAGTTTCCCTAATGGCGTGAGGATTTTCATCACTCCAAATATGTGTATTGTGCATATTGAACACGCCATCACGAGTGAATGAAGCCTCGTCAGTATACAATAATATTTTTAGAAAATCAGGAATATCAACACATTTTTGAATCATCCATTCACAAAACTCCACTCTCTTTTCTTCATCACCTGGATATAAGGCCTGGACTTTTTGGATGTGATAAGGATGTAAACCTTGTTCTTTAAGTGTCCGCCACACAACAAATGAGGACACTCCAATTTCAAGACCTAGTCTTCTACAACTTAATTGAGGCCGGTTTTCAACAGCTTCCAATATTTCTTCTTCGGCCGCCAATGTTCTTTGTGTTCTTGTTCTCCCTCGATCTGCATTGACACTCTCAAATTTTCCATGGTCTCTTAGATGCTGAACAGTTGAAATAAACGTACGACAGTCCGGAATTCTCCGATTTGGAAACCGTTCGCGATACAGGATTTGTGCTTGCCGAGAATTTTCTCCAGCTGCCCCATAAACCAGCACTATATCCGTTAGTTCAATATTCGTAAATAGTGGTATCGTAAAAAAATATTTAAAAGTAATCGTTACAACACTTTTTACCAACTTGGAAATGACGCGCTCATGTTAGCCAGATTCGTAAATCAACTAAAATTTTAATAATCTATAGTTTCAAAAATGTATAGTTTAAAAACAATCATTTATCAAATATTCTAGTTTTTTGGTAACGAGGGTAGTAAAAACCAGTCTTCGGAAATAGAAATTAATTCGAAAATCTTGGCAACATGGTTATTTCTTACAAGACTAGTTTTCTTATCATCTGACAGAAACTTGCATATTAATTACTGTTGATGTTTAAAATAGGTAAATAAACCTAATTTATATAGGTCATCCTCAACATATCAGTAAAGTACGTTTGTTTTAGAATTAATTTTCAAAAATTAATAACTCCCTTAATAAGGGGTATTTTTAAAAAATAATATTTTTCTACATTCAGTGGGGATTTGCGCAATACCCAGTTTTAATATGTACGTGTATTTCAATAACACCCTGTATACAAAGTTTGAAAACTTTTGTAATTAATGTGAATTAATTATTTCTAAAGACTGGCCTATATTCTTACCTAAACATAAGACCGATATAGGATGGTGCATCTCATCGTGATGATCAATATGTATCAATGTTTGTACAGACTCCACTAAAATTGAAAAACTTAACGAAGCTAGAAACACACAACAAATTAACATAAAAATAACATCAGTTCTGGCCCAACCGAAAGTATTTTTCAATTTTTTTTCTTGATTTGATCTGATTATGGAAGTCTTAGTTTTCTTCTTGTCTTGGCATTTTAATGGATTAGATGTCAGTTCCTCGCCGATTGTATCGTCAATGCTTGTTTCTCTTCTTAAATTAGGCATTGGTTCGTTTTTTGCGTACTGAAATAAAAAAATATAATCAAAAATAGAGTAAATTTAGAATGGTAGGTTAGTGATGTGGAATAGGATTAATGTTAATGGGTGTAAAGAATCAATTCAACTGCAATATTTGTAACAAATTTAGTTATTTTAATTTAAATCTGACCATTAGGGCAATTTTACCTAATTTCTTGGGAAGAGGCTTATTGGAACAGGTTGTCAATGACTAATTTGCATAATTTTGTTAATCCGAAACCCGCGTAAGTATAGCGAACAGACTGTATGTCATTATATTTACTAATTGGCGTAGATTTACTTAAATTGTTATGTCAACTTTAATATAGTTAATATTCAATACCTACTGTTTCCTACACGACATGGTATAGGTAATAAATTAATGATAATTAGTAATCATTGTTTGTTTAAGCAAACAACCTTATACTTGTTAAGTAACAATGTCAATGTTTCAACCAAAGTTATAATTTTTTAACTCATAATATATGTTATCGACGTAATTACCTATAAGGTGTTGATATTAAATAAAATGATTTCCGTTGGCATGAAATCGCATATCGTCAGTAATTTAGTACGCAAGCGCTCAACACGGGACGACAAAACACAGGGCAGCTATTTTAGAATTCGAGTGAGTAGAAAACCGATTTTTCCTCTTTATCTGCCAAGCACAAAATTTGTATTTATGTCTCTTTCTTCCCTTAGATTCAAGAATAGGTACCCAGAGCTCATCCCCATTAACCATCAGCCTTCCGTTTTATTTTTCTTTAAAATTGTGCCTGTAATTTAATTCCTTTGTGAACGTTAATGATATTCTACAACAATTTCTTGATAATTTCGTTTAGAACTTGTCTTAAAAACAAACAGTAATCACGTAGTTAAGGTTTATCATTTGAATAGATTGATAAAATTTTATTTACAAACGAATATTTAATAATAGCCCATTAACCATTTTTTAAACAATAAAGAAACTTAAATTCCTTGAAAACAACATGTTTTACGATTTTTTTTGAGGAAAATAAGTAAAGATACATATTTACGACAGTCAAAATGCCTATTTTTAGAAAATATTTTATAAACTTTAGAAACATGTTGAAAGTTTGTTAATCTAGAACAAGTCAGAGCTCAAGCTGACTTGTCAACAAAGTTCAATCACCAACATGACAAGCATGGTATTGTGGAATTTTTTAATGCTAGACGATGTAGCTATTCGCAAGTGATTTTAATTTTTGTCATAAGTTGTAATAATTATAAATCGTAAATTCTGATTGGTCTAAATATCTAAGGTTTGGATTTGAATGTCATTTTGACATTATTATTATAAATATAAACTATTAGAATATATTGAAGTCACACCACTGTATCCCGGAACCCAGATCAAAGTAACTTTGTTCCGGGCACCGAGACACTCTAGGGTATTTATACGGTTCCAAACCAGCTTTAAGACAACTCGATTGGAGCTCAGGGCCTTAAGAGAATGCTGTCGACCCACGGCCAGACCATCCGCCGAACGAGGTCACCTTGCAGATAAGCGACCGCAACGATGTTTCGCAAACTTCGCATAATAGTGTTGATGAACTGAGATCCGATCCAAACAACAGTATGGAGAATCTCAGAAAAACACTTGAAGGCTCCAATAGCGGAACTAGTAGCCCAGAAACTACATATAGATGAACAGGAAACGGACACAGACCCCCTGACACTTTTGAGTCATTAAAAAAGTATAGAGAAAATCCAAAAAAGTCCCAGGACTTTCTAAAATTTGTTTCGGCCTACAAAACCCTGGCGATGCCAGCACACGTCCAAAGTCCAAACCAGAATATAAGATTTTGGACAAAATAAAAATTCCTCAAGGGAGGATTCATCACACAACAGCGAGGCGTCTCCACCCCGATGATTTTACAAAACACGGTAGATGTCCACCAACCACCATTACTACCCCAGAGAACTCAATATACCTCTCCAAAATCGCCAATTTTCAGAAGGAAAAGGAATGAGACACAACCCGAAAAGCTGGATGAAATTCAAACAATTATGTAGACAGACTTAAACGAAGGGAAATTCCAAAGCCCGAAAAAATTCTTTGCCAACCTTGTCAAAGTACTACGACAAAAAGCAGTCAGATCACTAAGTTTGAAAAACAGATACGAAGTCCTGACAGAATCTGAATCTGAAGCAGAAAAATCGCACGCATTCGTCTTCAGAGGGTTGACTACAGGAACAAAAAAAGAACACATCGAAGAAGACTTAATTCAATCATATGATATCAAATCACGAGAAATCTACCAAATGTCGACTAAAAACCGGCCACTGTTCTTGATAGAATTTATCTTATGGTCCCCCTTTTAGTACTAGAAGGTGCATAGGTGAGTTTACATATTTAATTTTTCAAGTTTATCTGCTATAGTTTATATTTATTTTAGGAATTAATCGAAATGAGCCCCTACTTCCAAATATGGAGAAATAGAAAAAGATAGTCCTTACTTGTGGCTGAGAAGTTATAAATCTTACTGCAATCAAACTGGTGATCGTTCAGGATGTGATAATAACTGATAATGGCTCCTGAAGGCGCCAAAGTCTCAGCAAGGGGCTGCAAGTGAATCGCAGCTATATAAATTGAGATTCCTATGTATGTCGCTAATATATGTGTTTTAGGTAATATTTCAGTTCAACAAAAGACCCACTAAGTTATTAGATAAATAATTATTCATTAGATAATTATAGTAAATGATAAATAAAGGCTTAAAATAAAATAAAACTATTGGTATGTGATTTTAGGGAAGCAACTTATCACAGATGTTAGGTGCCCTTCTTTTACAAGAAACAAAATCCACAATATGTGATTCCACTTAAACGAAACGTTCCTTGTAAGAATTGAGATGATGGTTTGTTTACTTAATAGCTATTCGGTGGTTGCAGGGATATTAGGGTTACATTAAAAGTACATCGCATGTGAGCTTAAAGAACCTAAAATTGCAGCTTATTAACGTAGATGGGATGTTTTTGTGCTAGCTGGGAAAGATATCCAAAATTTTTGAATTTATAATGTCAGGTGACGTGGTCTCCTCTAAGTCAACTGACATAGTGGTGGGGGCCAACGGGCCAACCATATGTCCGGGGGACATTTTGGGAAACAATCTTGTTTACACACTCACAGTAGTGGTTAAGTGATCTTTTTTGGAAAATTTGTGTTTAGCTCTTTGAGGGATTTTTCATAAGACCATCCTAGTGTTCTAACAACTGGTTAGTTTGTATCTATTTCTTAAAATAATGTGATCGTAGAAAAAATATTGTGTACATTTTGAGCGACGGCCAACGTTCTATCTCAAGCATCGCTTTTCGAAAAATAAAAACATTTTTATGATACCCCAATGGCTTCACAGATCCTGTGCTCAACTAGTATACTTTTTTCTGTTATTTTTAATAGATGAACTTTCTTTAGTGACAAACTATTTCCTATTGCTTTTATCCAATTACACGCAAGAAATAATCGCAGACTTTTTCTCTATTTTACGCGATTGAAATCATTCAAACCCATCATTATGGTCTACTTGTTTCGCAATGCATACAAAAATGGTGTGAAACTAAATAAAACCAAGCGAGGGAAAAAATGGTATGTTATTATTATATAAAAGTAATTATATAAATCATTATAACAAGCCAAGCGTGCAGTACTTGCTTAGAAGAAAAATGTAAAAAATATTTTGTTTTTAACTTGTTTAAATAATTAAATGAATACTTTAAATTCTTTATTTCTGGAGAATTGTTAATACCCTCAGGGGCGTCTGATTGTTTTGATAAAGTCAAACTTACCTATAAACGAGTACAAATGGCCAAAAAATTATATCTTGAAGTTAGGTACAAAGGGGTTAAGTTACAATTTTGAAAAATTTAGATAAAATAAGGTTTTAAGTCAGATTTTTAGTTAGAGATATTTAAATTAATTTATTATCAACTAATTATTTTCCATACATACCTTTATGGTGAGTATACAACCACCCAATGCCATAATGTTGCACAGCGTGTGGTAAGAATCCATTAGAAGCGTTAGGGCATGCGTGAGGTGACTGATAATTAGTTCAACCAAAAAGAAGGCCATTGTTAGACCAAGTACCACGTAAAGCTGGAAAGGCTGCATCCTTCTGACCCATTCTTTCATTGCCATGGTCGTAACGTTCTGTAACATAAAACGTGCGTTGACTTTTAATATTGTTATGTTTATATTTCCTTCATATTCATTTTAATATATTCTATAATATCTATCAATAATTTAAGATGGTTTGTTTAGAGATATCTATTTTTAAACGCATTCCTAAACATTGAAAATATTTAAATTTCATCCATTATTTATGATTTCATTTATTGTAGATAGACTACATCGTATGTCGCAACCCTTTAAACATACCAAACCTTAGCAACGCGTTTCTTTTGTTTGGAATACCTAATTGTACATTTATTTGACATAAGCCTACTCTTCGAAGAGAAAAAAATGTTTAATTACTTATATGTCGGTGATTATTTATGATTTAATCGTTTAATTATAAACGGAAAATACTGTTGGATGATTTAAAATAATAGGAAGTCAATTAAAATATTTTAGATTATCCTACATTTTGTTTTAAAATACCGATTAGCTTCCTTTAATTTAATTCAACTAAAAATAGACAAGCGTGTTCCAATAATGTCAAATTATGACAATTCGCGGAAAACGTCAACTTTCTATAGTTAGATTTAAATGTGCAAAAGCCTACTTTGGATAGTGATCGTAGAAAAGAAAACTAATTCATTTCTGGAAGGACCTGAAATCCTAAATTTTTACTTGCCTATCTTCTAAAAAGTATCTTGATCACTAGTTCGTGCATATTCACTTCAATTAAAAGATGTTTAACCGATAAAACCGACGAGAGACTGACTACCATTCGACCATTTAACGACAACCGCTTCTTTATTGCCAATTATACAATAAAATGCAATACAATTATTGTTAAACTTCCGGTTCGGTCTGTTTTGAGAGTTATTCTTTGCTTTGTCAATGGTAATAAATAATTGTATCTACTACAATCGATTTAAATTGTTTAGATTCGAAAAATACGCAAATTAGATAAACCGTTGTAGTCTAAAGTCGGAAGCGCCGAGTACATACCTACCGAGTTTTAAAAATGTATAGCGATAATTTAGTTCTCGAATATCTACGAAATTACTATTCATTTCAGCTACTTATCAGTTTTGATAATAAATAAACTACTTATGTAGACAACAAATACATACCAAACCGCACTTTGCTGCGGTTGGGTTGTAAAATATGATAATTTATATTTCTCAGAGTAGACTGCAGCCAAAATGGTGGTTCACGAACCCTCAGTGGTTCGCGAGATTTATAAATGGGAGTTCGCTATGTCGTCGGATTCTTAGCCCTTCTTTCTTTATAAACTTTATTTACATATTTAAAATCAAGTATATGTACAACAAAAAATAAAACAAAAACACAATTCCCGGATCGGGTCTTGAGTCGGCGTGGCAGCTTCCTGCCTGGCCTATGGTGAAGTTTTCACCCGTTTTACATCTTGTCGCTAAAAATAAAGGTTAGGCTAAACATAGCAGCCCTCACTCCTTGCCAGAGAGGCATGATTGAGGGGTTGTGGTGTAGTTTTAGTCAGTATATGTCATAGTTTAGAGATTTGTCGGGGCTTAGTTTGGTCTGTGTCCCCTGAAAAAGCTAGGAAAAAACAGGGTTGTCAGCGATGTACGTTGGTCTTTCGATAGTCTTCGTTATTGTCACAATTCACAGGACTACCGAGTTATAAAACCTCCTGAAAGTGCCAAAGTCGAGGACGGGAATCGTCATTTTTTTTTTCTGACAATCCAAGGTTACTAGCACGGTTTGAAGGTCGTTGTTGAATCCTTCTTTCGCGTGATGCGCTATACGAAGTATTTGAGAGATTCTTAGCCCTTGAGGAAGTGGAAAGATCTTTTTTTAAGTATAGTAAAATTTATGTCTATAGCAATATGCCCAGCCACACAACATAATATAGTAATTTGCTTAAAAATATATCCACGAGAAGTACTGTGAGCATCATAATCTGAATTCGGAACGTTTATATTTATGTCAGTTGTCACTTGTCACGTTTTCTAGTCATTTATCATGTTTGTGATGGTGATGCTCGTGTTTTAATTTTGAGAATTCATACCTAAATTATTTTTTATACATTTGAGTAGATTTGGTCTATAAAATAGAATTCTAAATCATTGTCTTTGTTTCGGATTACAATGCCAGGTGTAAATTTAATATTTCATTCATTAGGTACCCAATACAAAATGGTTTAACTACAATAAAAACAAATAAAGGCAGATAAATCGTTGTAAACGAGAAGATACATTCACAGTTACATTTTACACCAAATACTTATAACAGAGATTTACAAAACTAATTTCTTGGTAATAATATACTTAATCGAACTAAAAATACATTTTAAAATATTATATTTTAGGTTTCCTTTGTATCTGATGACTTTCTAGGAATATTAGAAGCAAAAGTAAATACTACAGAATTGTCTAAAGAAGAAAGGTACCTGATACGTCTATATTAAAAAAAAAAAACATCAGATTGATGCAGTTCATTCTCTTCAACAGGCCTGATGTCCCTGGAAATATAACCATCAGAACCCATAAGAAAAGTTGGGAGAAATCACAGTTGATGCTCTAGAGCAGAGGTGGCCAACAAGTCGATCGCGAAGCCAATTTTGGTCGATCGTCAATCGCTCCATCGCTCGCAATGTAGAAGACAAAACTTAAAATTATCATTTTTATAATTTTTTTTTTCATATTTCAACTTATACATTGCATTTTGCGTTTTAAGTTAGTAAACATGAAGGTGAGCACTTTTTTTTTAGAAGCTCGGGACTCAGGACCAGGGGTTTATTAGAAAAAATATTAGCTGATGATTTTTGAAGCAACCGTACCTTTATTCATTATTTAACAAGGTGCCAACCCTACCTTATACTGCATTGCATACTGTATAAACATAGTATGCATTTCACACCCCTAATTCCCCTAAGACTACGCCTATGACAACAAGTCGATTGCGACACATTTTTAATATAAAAAGTAGATCTTATATACAGAAAAATTGGCCACCCCTGCTCTCGAGTATATAGAGAGTTGTTTTTTATAAAATCTGCATGCCTAACTTGGAAATCTATAATCAAGCATAAAATTTGTAAAATTAAAAAAATATCAATACACTATGACATTGGTTGTTTTATTTAAAAAAACAAAGTAAGATAAAATTATTTAAAAAGTGCAACGAATTAAACTTGAGCATATTTTTTAATTTCTATATCTTTTCCGTTAATAATAGGTCAATATCTTTTTTATTCAATATGTTGTGGAAAAGTAAAATCTTTTTATATAAAAATATAAGTTATCCTTTTTTAATTAATTATCTTATATTTGTTACATTATAGCATAAATAAAAATATTTCCAAGCCACATATGATTACAATAAAAAAATATTTATCAACTTTTCATTAATAATAAACTAAAAAAATAAAAATATAGGTACATATCTATAGAAAAAAAAAGTTAAAAGGCTTGATTTAAAATTCTCTAGTATAATATGTACCTAGTCAGTGTTACCAGGTCAAGATAAATATAAGTGGTAGACTTGTCATAAAAAAGCGGTAGATTTATAAATAAAACGGTAGATCATAAATGCAATGTTTAAAAATGGCTGTTTTTGCGATTATAGTTAGGTAATTAGGTAGGTAGTCAGGCGGAATTAAAAAAGAAAAGAACAATAATTTATAATTGTTTTTGGAAAAGCAAAAATTAAATTTAAAAAATATGCTTGTTTTATTATTGTAATAAGTAATTTACATAAAATAAAAACAAAAATGCTTAGGTATATCCGGTCGTACCTATGTTTTACCAACAAATAAAATATGGTACATAACAAATATTCCAAAAATTAAAAATAATCATCTGACAAAAAGCCAAAATTATCCAAACCATTTTTAAGTTTTTTCTACATATTATATGGACAACTGTTGATCAATTTATAAATTGAAGAATGTCGAGTCTTGGGTAGTCACTATTTACTGTTGTACCGACATTTCCTAGGGGATTCACCGACCGAAGTTAAAATGTCGAAACGAAAATCGCAGAAAATAGAACTCAAATTGTATTTATGATAATTTTGTTAATATTTCTATTATATCAATATGTTCTATATAAAATTTTACAAACATATTGAAAGTATGAATAAAAGTTTCAGCGGTGGATATTGCATGAAAACGGTAGACCTGGCAAAACTGTACCTAGACATTGTTGCAGTCGTCTATTACACCGGCACACAAAAAAAGTGGTCAGTACATTTGACTAAATCCACCTATTAGTCGCGACAAAGTAGGTTTCCACTTCGAACTTTGGTCGGAAAGGTCCAATCGGGCTAATTTTTTTGGAAAATGTTCATTGAGACATGAGATTTAAAGTTCACTAAAATCTAGATGCCGCTCGGCCTCCCTCCCCACAAATTCACCCCAATTGGGGGGAATTCTCGGCTTTCTTCAACAAAAGGCGCATACTTCATAAAACTGCAGTCCCAAGCGGGGTAAATGTTCCACTCGGGGGTTTTAAAGTACCCTGAATCCATTATTTGGGTCAGGTCGCCTTTGCGACCTTCCCAGGGGTGGGTGACAGGGCCACTGGGGGTCCAATATACTAGATGTCCGTGGAAATGTATTTGGGCTCCCAAATTGCGCTAGGGGAGTTTAGAAGGGCGGAGATCTCAATGTCATCGAGAATTAAGCCTTTTCAAGCCCTCAGAGTCGTATAAACAGGGGCCCATGGGGTCTCAAATATCATATATAATTTCTCTACCGTGTATACTTCTTGGTCTTTTTGAGTCTCTGACGAACCTAGATATGACCCAAATTTGGGGGTAAGTACTTTAAAAGTGCTAGTGTGATGTTTTCCGAACTTCTCTTTGTAACCTCTGTGAGATGTAAGCCTAAAATTGCAGCTTATTAACGTAGATGGGGTGTTTTTGTGCTAGCTGGGTGTAATCATACTCAATATTTTTTTAAGGATTTTTATGGAACCAATTTATTGTATTGATTTTTTTTTTTAAATTTCAATTCATTTATCAATAATTCTGTTTTTAAATCAGTTCATGAGTTG